TCGCTTCTCTCGTTATTATTATTACTTTCACAATTTTACATCGCGACATTTGATATTAGTTTCTTAAGACTGTGGTATTAGAATGCCATTTGTGTCATGCTCGAGTTGAAAATTATAATTGATAATTTTACTAAATGCTTCCAAGCCACAATTCTCTTGATTTTAAACCATTAAATTTATTTAATTTATAGATGGCCCCTAGGCTAGATGGTCTCATGTACGTTTCTAGTCGTCTTAGGATCAAGCTTGAAATTTTATTAGAGTTTTTTTATCGGTGTTTCGGAACAAATTATTAATTTATCATACTACGTAAACTTTAACTTTGTAAATGCTTGTGCCTGTTACTGTCAATACAGTCCTTATAACTTTACGAAAACCGGTATAAACCGCTAAAACCGTAATTCGTATTGCCCACAAAAAGGACGAGGGAGTTAGTGACACATTTTATGTGGGAGAGTGGAATGCCGTTGTGTAGATAAATGGCTGCTCTAAAAGCTAATTGAACGTACATCGCAAAAACTTGGTTAATTGAATCAAACAATTGCGAACAGTTGACATTCGTTGACTTAAAATTGGATCGTTCGGACTGTTTTCAGTATTTTTGTTATAATAACCTATAACAGAAAGTTTAAACGCCGTTATTTACGATACAGTGACGTTGGTTTATGTAAGTAAACTATTTACACTTCTACACTGTCTGATACATTACGTATACAAGCAGTAAAAATTCAGTACATCTCGTAAAAGTCCCTCATTAATATCAAACGTTTTTACTTTTATATGCTCTATATTCGTTATAGCCAGTGGCGAGGTTTTATGAACCAAAGGATAACAAATGTACAGAAATAGGACTCGAGGTGAACGGTCGCTTGTAAGTTTATTATTCGCTCATAAAAATAATATCGCCCAAATTTTCTCAATCGGTAAAGCCGGTTTCACTTCTTGGATACACGTGTTGCGATTTTATTTACCCATAATTACGGTATTTTCCTTTTTTTATTCTATTTATATTAGAGCTATTTAGGCAGATGGTCGAAGTGATTTATTTTTAGTTATGATATGTGTACTATTTTTTTACAAACAAAAGATATGTATGTTGTGAAGTTTAAATATGTTTTACAAATTTTTATAACAATCATAACAAAACAGCTCATTATACGGGTCAAATGGTAGTAGGAAGTAACATTTCTAAAGAGTTTTGCTTCACCTAAAAATAGTTAAGGCCACGACGACATATGTAACGCGTTTTAGTTGATATAATAGAGTAAAATTTAACGCATTTAGTACGGGACGCCAGTTCTCTCCCCTCGTCAGTAGGAGTTTCACTAAAACATACCAAATTACCAATAATCTTGTCTGTCAAAGAAATTCTTGTACAAAGGGAGGAAGTTCTCAACAACAGCTACAGCAAACCAGTACTTAATTATGTTTCCTGATATGAACGAGTGCTCAGTCTCTCAGTTAGCGTTGTAAAGAGGCTAAAAAAATTAACAGTAAATTAATATTTACGAGTGAAGTTGAAAGAAATAACGAGCGCGCGTGGGTGTTTCACACTTTTCTGTTTGCTTGTTGTATTATTAAAACTGCACGATTTTTTCTTAATCATCCGTGTGAATGTCCTTAAGTAAATTGCTACTGCAATCTGTTTTTAAAATTCGTTTGAGTTGCGAGTATTCCAATTTCCACTTCACAATTTAATATGGGTTGCATGCTTATTATGCAGTTAGAGTTACTTACAACTATAGTTGTTACATTAAGAGTTAAAAAAATCGTAGTTACTATTAAATACATTTACATTACATAGTTGGAAACGTGGTGTAATTCGATTGCCTTGCTACTGCGACTGTTTAATAGCTTACAAAGGTGAACTACGGTTTGACCTTCTTTCCTAAATATGGCTACATTTTAAGGCCAGTTGAGGTACCGTCTCGAACTCGGATTTTTACTTATTTTTTACGTTAATATTGGAGTCTCAAGACTTAAAACGGTAGATACAATAATTATTAACAAACTATAAGTAAAGTTACTAGCTTTTTAAACACTTATTACAAGGCACTTGTAATTATTATAAAAGTGATTTGGTATTTTAAAACTAAATTTCAATTCTAGCGATTATGCTTGTTCATGGGAAGAAAAACTGACAAGTTCATTAAAAAAATAGGTCACTATGGTATTACCAGTTATTTTAAACTACCATAACGACTTAAACAATTGAAGTGGTATTACCACATGACTGTGAACAGAAACGTTCGCAGTTTCAGAAGTCTTTATACAAATAAAATCTGTTGGGTTATACTTAGAGATATTTTTTGTCTTTAAAGGTTGATGCCGATTTCGAGCAAAGAGCATTCTTATTACTTATCCGTATGGTGACGGATTTAGAATACGGAGTGTCACCAACCCTAATCATCGCGTGGGTGTCGTTAGAGGCGACTAAGGGAGCAAACTACGCAGGACAACAGCACTGCAAAGAGAAGGAAAGCTTGAAACAAACCCTGTACCAACCAGTCTGACCAGCGTAGCAAAGTAGGCCGAAACCTTATTTCTAAGGACAGGCCTATGTCCAGCAGTGGACTATTAAAGGCTGTTGATGATGGTGATGATGATGATGCTGATTTTCTAATTAAGGACTAGCTATTAGCAATAACGTCCAGCAATCTGTTATTCCGATTAACGATGGTTCTAGTCAGCCTGTTCTTTTTGATGTCTTGATTGCAGTCCTAAAATATCTCCTGAGGAACATATTGTTTTTTTTTTAAATTGAGGGTAAATTTAAAGAAAACACAAATAACAGCTATTAGCTTCTAGGTATTTGATTTTATTGATTAATATCAAATACTCGAACGTGTTCGAAAGTAGATCAAAATCCATTATGTAATTTTTTTGGCGTATTTCATTGGCCAGTAAAATTTGAATTACTATTGTAAAAACTGTGGGTTTATAAAGTAGTTTTCATTTAATTTTTAAATTTAAAACTCAAATTGTTTAAACTTATTAGCTTTCTGCACTCCTTAACTAACTTAAGTATTTTTCTTAAGTATTCCAAATTACACGTTACTTAATTAGGGATTTTCTTTAAAAATACGCATAAAGACTTCTCACCTTACTACTTTAATTACAAAAGATACTGGTTTGAAATTAAAGAACATTGATGTAGATGTTTGAAAATGTCAAGTTGTTTATTTGATCAGTACAATTGTGAATTTAATAAACACACCCGTAATACTCCGTTGTGAAATAATGACACAACTTGCAGGTGCATTGCATGCTTTGAATACAACAACATAACATTCTCACAGGTTTAGTAGCAACTAGATACCAATTTAATATACCAACGATGTAGCAAATAATTTGGTTAAAAACATATTCTTAAGACTACATTGTGAATATCATTTTTACATTAAGCATATCGCATTAATATAGAAAAAATTATACAATTAATTTTATTTTGTGCAAAATTCGGTTTATGACTGTCAAAAACCGGACTCAATATCAAAATATAAGTCGGTACACTTCGTCTAAACATTGTATAAGAGTTCAAAAAACTTAGATAAACAAGTGTACATTAGTAGGATAAGGAGATTAATGTCTCGCATCTTCGTCGTGACAATTAAATCACTTTAGATGACTTACAACTCGAGTGGTTGGCCACCGGGGCCACACGGTGCAAGTCGCTTACATAGACAAGACGCTGAGACGTCGTTCGCCAGTTCATTTCACTGGAAATAAACTAATTTTAGAATTTCCGTTCAGCCCTACTTGGGCATACTGCGCTAAGCCCGTTTAGTTGTGGATTTTGACATGTAGTAACGGGTCGCCAATTTGTTTTTTTTTGTGTTCCTTTTGTGAATAAGTGAATGATGTTTTACGTGCTTGTTATGGTGAGTTTTTTATAGGTAGTTTTTTTTCACCCTGAACTTTGCAAGTGTTTACTGTCACTCTCTATTTTAACTTTATTTAAACCTTTTTTTTCGAGTTAAACAATAACTATTTATTGTGTAGGTTCATTTAAACGTTACAATGTACAAAACAATGTACTGATGAAACCATTCTAAACTACATTTTGACAGTTTAGCCTGATTCTTTTCATAATTTAATGGCTGACCGATATAGTAGCTTAGTATCATTATTTACTTAGATACCTAATATATATTTTTATCCTAAGCTTCCAACAAAAATATCACTTAAAAAACTAGACTTGTCTACTAGACTATGATTTTAATTGACTAGAAACTAGAGCTATGATTTTAATTGAAGATATATTTCTAAAATAACATTTAATTATTCCTTGACTATTAAAAGACAATGATGTACTGGTTTAATTTATATAACGATTTAACAACAAACAATGAAAAATATAAGCATACAACGTAAAACATTAAATCAATCTACGCATATCTGTCGCGGAAATTGCCAGAAGTGAACAAATCAATGAACATTTATAATGTTGATTCAAGCAATGAACAACACTGTCGCGGTTCCTACAAGACATTGATAGCTTATAGAGCGCGGCATGCATTCATACTTCCAACTACTTCTAATGATATTCTACGAAAAATCGCACGATAAATAGTATTAACTATGAGGTAACTTCTAAGGTAAACAAAAAGCGTAAACATCAAGCCATATGACTCACAATGACGAAGTTCTCATTATCATATCACAGCCGCACGCTTACGTTAGTAACCTTAGTTGAAATCTGACACTCGACTCTCATTCTTGTCATCTTTGCGTGTTTTAAATAATAAATTAATACGTTTGTTGCAGCTCTAACCGGCCAAGTCTGCTCAATGAGTGTACGCGAGTGACACATTCTGATGTAGCGCGTATATCACACGTATTTTCCTTAACCGTGAGAACAAAGAAATCTTTCGCGAAATAATTTCAACACTTTTCAACGCACCAGCCTGTTGATCTAACACGTGTCGTGTGTATGCATACGTGAAAACGAGAGGATGAGAACGTTCGACGCGCGCGTGCAGTAAAAATTCAATGCAAAAATGATTAAAAGGAACGGTGATAATGTATTTGCGATCGCGTCGAGCAACAATCAGTGTCAAGGCGGTCGGTCGCCCGTCTCACTCTGTCCTAGCGGCGGCGCGGCCACGAGGATCCCGCGCGCCACTGCCGCCAGGATGACGCCGCCCGACGCGCAACCACACACCAAGGAGGCTAACATCGCTCTCTCGACTTACGTGGAAAAATGGAAAAATAGATACGAGGACGCAGAGCGCAAACACAAAACTTATTTACTAAAATCCGAAAAAGGTATGTGTTTTTTGTTTTAATACGAATACAAATTTAAGATTTTTGTGACTTTTTGCGGTCGAATCTGCGCATGTCCGAATATCTCCCGGGTCGTATGCAAACGAAAACACCAGTTGAAAATACTAAAACCGTATTTGTCGAATTACGACAGACTATAACCTGTTGCATAGACATTAATTCTTGAATTGCCCCAATCCTCGTTCATGTAGTATACCTATACATTAAATATTAACTCCTTTTGTTGTGCTATTCAATTCTTTACTAAAACCTTAGTGAAACTTAAGGTTAATATTGACAAAGGCTAATAAAATCTATATTGCGCATTACATTAAAAGAACACTGACTAATGGTGTGAGGTATAAAGACTTTACAAAATAACGGTTTTAAAGTGTGCTTTATATGATTCATTTATTAATGTTATCGATTTTGAATTGCGCAACACTGATTTATGTTTGAAAACGTCAAAACTTACAATGACACACAGTGTCCTAAATAAGTTTTAAAAATAAGGTCATAGAATTTCCAAAAAAAAAAAACTTGTTTACATCCAAATAGAAAATATACATTTGATATAAAAAAGTTTTTGCGTGGTCTTATAATAATTATTTAGGGTTCATTTTAATTTGCGGTGTTTTTTAAATTAATTGCTAATAAACTTTCAGGTAGGACAGAAATTATTAACGATTTGTCTTTTCTGCTGTCCGAGTAATAACTTTTTAAACAATAAACGACAATAACATTATGGCTTACTTTTTAATTCAGTAAATTGTATTCGCTATGACCACGGTGTTAATTCTTAATATATTATTTTCCTTCAGAATATGGTTTTGCAATGGTGTTTTAGTTAGGCATACTTCAGTGTTATTATAATTGTATTTTTAGGGTGTTGTTTACATAATTTAAATAAATACAAATCGTCTCATATTATACTAACTTATTAAAGGTTACGAACATATGAAAATTATGTAAATGTTTTCTCCTAGTTTCTTTGTTTACTTACAAGTTTTTTTTTTCGTATTTTTAACTGATACGTTGATAAACTAAAACAAAACACACAAATTAGTAAAAACTAGGTTATTTAGTCGTATTTGTGTTTACTATGTTTCATTGGTCATATGATTGTTCATAAATAATTATAATATTTTTATTTTGAGGAGTTTTAGCTAAGTAGATGTTACTTAGGTTAAAGTTAAAGGAAAAACCTTAATGTATTATTGTAAAATCTTTAATTGTTTTGGCATATTCAAGCAATAGTTGTAATTTAAGTTTCTCATTGTGCTGTGTTGTTTTTGTTCTTCCAACAACAATAGACAACAGTTGGTATGATGCACCGACACACTTGTCACTTTACAATGCAGAGGAAAGTTATTTCTAAATGTTAAACTTACAACTAGCTATTATGTATTATTTACTTATGATCATATTTATGATCAATTTATAGATTAGTGAGAATCATATAAAAATTCAAGGGTACACTTGGAGTTTATCTCATTCAGAGCTACACTTTTACACTTACTGAGGTTTTTCATCTGATTTCTGACTTCCATTGAGTTGTCAATGAATTAGCTTATGAATAATAAATACTCTGGGATGCAGCATTTTAACTTATTTTCTGTTTTATGTCACCAACAACATTATAAGTCTTTTTGCCTTTTTAATTTGAATGTTTCGGGGTTGAATTTTTATGTTTACATCAGAGTTCTATATTTGACACTGCTAATATGATCTATTGCATTAATTATGTATTATATACTAGTATAAACTTTTATATTTCATACAGATTGCCATAAAACAAATAATCTTAACACTAAGTAAATCTTCTAGAATTTTCTAAGCACATTCTGAACTTGTTTGCGCATATAGATACAAAAAGACAGTTATTAAATTATAAATGAGTAAAATAATTTTCTTCCATATTTGTATAAGCAGAAAACGGTTGTACATGACTGACATATCCCTGGTGTAAGAAATATTATTATAATTGAAGCTTTCTTACAACATTAGTGGTCCCCAAGGATAAAAGCCTCGATATTCTTCTTTTCCTTATCTGAAGCATTATTTATTTAGTTTTTCCTGCTGTATTAATGATGTCACCGTAAATATATAACGGTAACTAATAGTTAGTGGGTAACAAGAATACACCCCGCCTGGTGATAAACAAATATTTAGAAGGTCACATTCTTGTTTATCAAGTAAACGGCTGATAAGTTCTAGTTATCGTTGTGACACTGTATGATATCATAAATAGTTAATATAGAAATGAATGTTCACAGATAAGATAGTAAAATGATTATATCATTGTTCAGCTGTGTTTATCTATAATTCCTAATAACACACACATACACTCAAGCCATCCATAAATTACGTCACACGAATTTCATGGTTTTTGACCCCACCCCTGTTCTTGTCAAAGCTGGTCACATTATTGAGACTTCCCCCTACTAGTCATATAGTTTGCAATTTTAAATATAGTAATTCATCATTATCATCAACAGCTTTTAAAGGAGGTTTTAGTCTAGTATACCATGCTGGCCAAACGGGTTGGTATAGGTTTTGCTTCAAATGTTCCTCTCTTTGCAGTGCTGTTGTCCTGCATAGAGTGGTGACACTCCGTATTCTTAACCACCACACAGACAATAATAATGTAGCAATTATTAATATAAATTTAAACAGCAGTTCCGAAATAAGTTTTATTTATATTTAATATATGTTATAATAAAATCAAATTTTAATATTTCAAATTTAAATAAATTAAGTTTTCAAATGTAATGTCCCTTAAATATTGGGCTGTGGAAGTTTTCTCAAATTCGATAGTTGACTCCAGGTGATAGCGCTTAGGTTCTTCCTAATTCGCTCGACCGTTTTTTTTTTATATGAATGCTTGCGAAGTTGGTCGGTTTAGTTTCCCAATTAGACCCAGTCGGTGGCGCTGCAACCGGCTTCTAAGATCTTTATTTCGTATTTTGAACAAGATTTTATAGGCGTGTGTGTTATTAGGTCTCTGGATGGTTTCGAATCATGAGAGACCTTTGTAGGTGGCGCTGAAATCTATTTCTAGAATAAATTTTTATTTTTGAAGGAAGTGTTACTGTGACTGATGTGTAACATCTTTCTTCTCGCTGTAATGTGGGAAGGGACGGAAACATGTAACAAGAAGCTAGGGAGAAGCACGTTATTTGTGTTAACCAATGAGAAAACGTCGTAAGATTTTAGGTTTTTTGTTTTATAATCTTTAAATCACGTAACACTAAAATTTATTATAAAGGCAAAAGTTTGTGAGTGTGTGTGTTTGTTACTTCTTCACGTTCAAACGGCTGGATCAATTTTGGTTAAATTTTGTATGGAGATAGCTGATATCCTAGATTAACATGCATAGGTTACGTTTAAAAACGTAGTGTTTCCGTGGAATGAGAGTACCTACCTAAATAAAATACCTAAAGTCATATTTCACGCGTGTTAAGTAGCGGGCACAACTAGTCAATTACAGTGTTGAAAAAAATCTTACGTTTAGAAAGGACAGCGTCTGTCGGAGTAGTATAAATATAAAATAAACAAAAACTTTTTTAAATTATTAATTGTACACATTAAGGAAATCCCTTGAAATAATTTAAATTTAATAATATTGTTGTAAAACAGGGAAAATGTATACTTTTTTACCAATTTTCTGTTTAGTCGTATCATTATTTAGATTGTTTGTTCATCCGTCAGTGCACTTATATCGCAAGAACTGCTGAGCCGGTTCAAATTGTTTTTTATTGTAGATAATGTTTCCTCTCTATGGTGAGGAATAGGTACAAAATTGCCATAAACAAAAAGTAACGGAGTTAATATTGTGTAACTGCTGTTTCAATGCTTAATTCGGACAATGTCTCAGCGGATTTTAATATGTTGTAAGTAATAATAATAACCTCACTCATCACTCACACGGCTGTCTGATTCCAAACTAGGCAGAGCCTGTGCTATTGTGACCAGACTGCTGATAAACATATTTAAATATCTATTTCTAAATACATATTATAGATAAATTACACCCAGTCAGAGAATAAAATGATCATGCTCATCACACAATATTTGTCCTGGGTGGGAATCGAACCAGTGTTGTTTTTGTAAATAATTTATATGTCAAACTATTTTTACGAGACAAGCTTTTTGTTCCACCTCAAGTGAATCAGAGATTAAGTATTGAAGATGATTCGGAAACTGCTAGTTGCACATGTTAGGTATAGACACATTACGGAATCCCGGCTGTACCCAGGAGAGAGCAAAATGTTTCTCTACACACAATGCGAATCATTGGTGTTCACCAAGCATTTATAAAAACAAAGAACCTTCGTAAATTTGTCAACAAAAACATGCATGTAATCTCCATACTATCCACCGAGATCCATCTTCCAGTCATCCATGTTTAAATAGTGGGACAAGAGTGATATTTCATTCATTTTACTTACTGTTTAAAAGTAATGCTAGCATCCATTTTGGTTTTACCTGGGAAAAAAATACACGCGTAGACCTGAGAACCTCCTCCGTTGATCAAGATGATGATGAGATGATGAATCAAGATGTAGTCAGCCCTCAGTGATCAAATTTTCAATCACCAATAACTAACTTCGTCTGTAATCTTTTCCAGCTAAACGAGAATATGACGATCTCCAGCGACGATATAACATTCTCTCTGAGGAGAGGAACCACTTGGACTCGGAGCTCAGAGAGAGAGAAAGGGAACTTCGAAAGCTGCGAGATGTGTCCGAGAAGCTGTTCAAGGAGTATCAGCAGCTTAAGAACCAGCATGAAGTGGACGCCGGCGTTATGCACAAGTAAGTTCTTTATTTCTCTTCCCTTCAAATTGTACCAGAAGCCTCATAATTGCCCTGCTAACGTCTGCAACGTATCAACCTGGGGACAGCAAAAATCTTCGTAAGGTACTGCGGGAGAGGCATGCTTAAGCACAAATGGGTCGGCTCGACCGGAGTGATACCACGGCCTCACAGAAAACCGGTTTAAAGCAATTCTTTCATAGTTTTCATCGAGTGACTGAGGTTCACCAGAGCCCAGAGCCCTTCTTTGGTGGAGCTGAAAGGGGGCCAGCCCGCCTGCTTCTTTGCTCCCTATACTTAAACAAGAAAAAAGATATATCTTGATTATAACCTAGTGAGTGCAGTAACCGTAGGCCAAAGTTCTGGGGAGGGGGGGGGGGGGGGGGGGGGGTGACGTACTTGTTTTTCGACATGTTTCCTCGCTTGAGCCCTGTAAAGGGGGTTTACCTATTTTATACTTGGGATCCTGTTTCATGTATGAAATATATCACTGACAAGTTCAAACCTGAATTTCTATTATACATAGATAATATTATCAGCCATTGCCTTTAATAGTCCACTGCTGGACATAGGCCTTTGCTTAGAAAGGAGGTTTTGGCCTGCTATACCACGCTGGCCAGACGGGTTGGTAGAGGGTTGGTTTCAAGTTTTCGTTCTCTTTGCAGTGTCGTTGTCCCGCAGAGTTTGCTCCCTTAGTCCCTAATCCCGTTGTCCGTGTGGTAATGGACTAAGAATAGGGAGTTTCACCACCTCCATTCATACGGTGGGTGTCGTAAGAAATAATATATTAAGATAAATAATTATTGTATTACCAAGGAGATTTAAATAGTCAATATTCTGAAAATATAACAATATTAGTGATAGTGCCTAAGTACTTCTCAGTAGCGTCATAGACAGTAGAGGAAAACGAAATTAGTATCCTAATGGTGACTATTCAACATTAAATACCAGGAAAAAACAAACAACCTTGAATCGATACATTCCCTGCTCGTAAATATACCATCAAAACATGACAGTTTTGATGGTATATTAATTTTATGGTATAAACCAAAACACGAGTAATTAACTTCAAAAATATTTAGAGATAAACAAATATATCTTTCTTGTAAAATTACAACATAATGATTACGATTATGATTAGAAAATACATATTTAAGTAACTAAAACTGCACTAGTTTTGCTAGTTTTAGATTATTACCATAAGACACGCCAAGTACTTGTTTTCACCTACAAACCAACAACTTGCCGCAGCAATCATTAAGTCAAAGTCAAAATATTTTTATTTCATAATTCTTTTAAAATTATAAATTATTCATAGATCAACACACACACAATAGCAACACTGTTTTGTCAAATATTTATCAAAATAAATGGTATACTATTCGAAAATCCACTATATGCCTGTGCGGATCTACAACCGCCAGTTCCGATACTAGACATCACCTAAGAAGCTGTTGACATGGTTGCTAGAAAGTGTGGCTCAATGGGCGATAGTTAGCTGAACGTTTTTTTTGTGGTATAGGTGGCAAAACGAATAGACGGGTCACCTGACTGACCACCGCTGTTTAAAAAGAGTGACCACTACTTTTCCTCTTGGATTCATTTGACACATGAAAAAATAGAATTTCCGTGGAAAGTCTTACACGGCTGAACGCATATTGTAGTATCTGGACGGTGATATTCCAGAATTTTCGTGGTTGACAGAAATGCAGGATTCTTTTGTGTAGAATTCCGTACCTCAAACATTGCTATACCAACCAATAAATCTTTACCAATTTTAACATATACATATTTACATGCAAGTGTCAAAAAATTCTTCCGCATCGTCGCTTATTGGTAGCATTTCTAGACGACTGGCAACATTGCCACTTTGAAAAACAAAACCGTCTCTATGCTAGAAAAAGGCCCACTTCTTTCTTTTTTTCTCTTTAAACTAACATCGTTGTATTTTTCAGTAAATTAACTAGTTAAATCTTTTGTGTGGTGACGGATTAAGAATACGGAATGTCACCACCCCTATTCATCCCGTGGGTGTCGTAAGAGCCGACTAAGGGAGCAAACTACGCAGGACTGCAAAGAGAAGGAAACCTTGAAACAAACCCTATACCAAACCGTCTGGCCAGCGTGGTATAGTAGGCCAAAACCTCGTTTCTAAGGAGAGGCCTACGTCCAGTAGTGGACTGTTGATGAAATCTTTTGTGTTTTTAAAGAATTATAAAAATGTTGACATGTGAAATGCTATCAAGGTGAAATACCAAATAATATAATCAATAAAATAATTTCGAAACAATACGAAGTCACGTTTCCGTAAGCACGTTCGATTTATCTCAGTAATGCGAGTTCATGCGTTAACATGCTCTTGCGCAGTCATTAGGTCCACTAATGCGTTACCCATTCGCCTTATCTATCGCGGTCAGACTTGTTTGCTACATTCTACATAATAAAGGATTGTTTATAAATAAATATTCTACCTGTGAATCAGGAATATTAATAAATAATGATCTCTGACCGTTATGTATATTGTTTCTATACTTCACTCAGCCCGAAAAGGTTACAGAGATGTATGAAAATTACATGGTTAGTATCGCAGGTCCCTATGTCTATCCTATGGTAACACGATATTCCCAGCCTAGGGAGAGAAATATTCGACGTGTCGCACTCCATAACGCACGCCCTTTTGAAGCAAAAAGGGTACACCGTGGTCTCCACACGCGAGCCACGGCCATCTTTAAGGCCCGTGATCGGTCGGGATAACACGGTGTCCCCTTCTTGCTTCTACCGCAGCTGAAAGGTTGATTTTGAAAAGTTGTGTATATTCTAACGGAGGCGAGAACTTTTATTGAGCGAAGTGGGGTTAATAGGTAGATACTTCTTAGTTTGTCTTCGTTAGATGGTATCAAAGTATGTTTTTTGTTGTATGTGGCAATTGATCCATTGTGGCATGTCCCATTTTGAATTTTTAGCGGTATTCAGTATCAGAATCATTAGAAAATATGTTAATAAGGATAACAATCGTAGAGACATAATTGATCAGATATCAACTAATTGCTTCTGAGAGTTGAATTGCAGTGTGTTTTCGTACTTTGTACCTTACTTTTTGTAGAATTCATTCTATAATTTGAGCGTTTATGGAATTAAGTTCTTCTCGAAACATCTTACTAAATCAGGTCAATAACTATTTCGAGTCAGGCGATAGTTAAGTCCAGCCTTGACAAAAATTTCGTACAATTTCCTGGAACATGCCATCCATGCTACAGTACTCACACTCCCTAGAAGGTGCATCTGGTGAATACATTGATGAATGAGATTGTGCATATAGCACAAACTTATTTCAATATATCGCATAACAGATGGCGGTAAAATGTTTAAATGTTTAAGTAACAAATTCATTTTTAAATGGTTTCTTGATTCAGGGTGATGCAACAGGCAGGAGAATGGTACAAACAGAACAAACAACTGAAGCGGCGAAGTACAGCTCTGATGCTGGCGCTGCCCACCAAAGCCATGGAGATTGATCTCACTGACTCTATGGATACAGGTAATTCTAGAGTTTTAAGGAGTCAAACTGAAGGTATTTCAACTGATTGACTAATTTTAACTGTTTCGGATGGGCTTGGAGTCAAAATTGATAATTACCTAATTTGAAGTCATTTTGCAGTTAAAAATATTTAGTCTCTTTACATATTCTTGCAATACTAAAGCAGAATTCTCCGACTACTACAGAGATTTAGTCTTTGAGACAGGCCCAACGATTATAAGAAATTTGTTTACTCATCAACGTCAAACCTTTCATGGTGCGATGCAGAATCTGTTAACATGCGAACCAAATCGAGTTAGTTTGAAGTAGTTCAGTTTCTCTTCAATAGATGGCGCTGAGTATGCCAACACAGAAAGTGTATGCATACGCAAAATAGCCTCAATTTTTTATCACAAACACTTTTGCAAAATGTTATATGGAGTGTAATATCTCATAGCTTCAGACACAAGCAGTAACGAAGAGGTGGAATTCTTGAAGCAGACAGTGGCGGACCTGAGCCAGCAGATAGCTTCACTGCAGACAGAGCTCAATCAAGCTAAACTGCACGAGTTTGAAGCACATGAAGCTAATGTTGCTATTGGACAGGTAATAAGACTTATTTTTATTTGTTTTACAGAAGACATATACAATGTATGAAGACATTTATAAGACTCCAACATGAAGTCTTTACAAGTTTTGTGGTACATCATTATCTGCAATGGTGTAAATAAAATTAAAACTGCATGTAAAATAATTTACAGGAATTAGAAGCGGAGAAAGAGAAGTCTGCAGGACAAGAGAAAGAGTTGCAAGAGTTAAGAGTACAATTGGAGAGACACAATAGGGTATCCAAACTGTTGATGGAAGAAGTGACAGCGCTCAAAGATAACGCTGATAAAGACAGAGAGATGGCAGAAACGTAAGTGTAATAAGCCTAAAAACCATTTGCTTACCTTTTTATTGGATGAAGTCGATAGCTTTTTACTAAGTTTAATATCAAACCTCATTTCTTCACAAATCAGAATTTTGAAAATATTTATGCATTTACTTTACTAAAAGACTATTAAGCCACAATATTCTAATGTTCATATTGAAAATAACCAAAATAATATAGGTACTAGATATTACAAGAGCATTTGAAACTGTATGTATTCTCAAAATTCCTAAACAAATAAGAGAACACGAAACAGACGGTATCATCCTCCGAATCTCACAGGCTTATAACGCTGATAGAGCATATTTATGAGTTAATAGATTATCAGCGAGATAAGAACTGTTATTTTTGGAGTGCCGCAAGGCAGTCGGCGAGGTCCACATGCGCTACCCCCGGCAGGTACAAGACGGAGGCGCGCGCGGCCAAGAAGCGCGTGGTGCTGCTCACGCACCAGAGCGCGCTGCTCGCCGGGGAACTGCTCGGCGACACCTCGCCCGACCAGCGCCTCGACCGCCTGCTGCACCACGTCGACCTGCTCAAGGGCGCGCTCGAGGACCAGGCGCTGCGCCACCGCGACCAGCTGCACGACCTGCAGGTACCACACACCTACGCACTATTTATTGTACTTGTCCCACAAACTTAGTTAACGATAGAATCTTCTATCTGTACTGTTTCTAAAAATAAATATTTATATTGCGGTATGCTAAATCATTTTGTAAGCTAATTAGTATTGGTAAAACTGTTCCACAGCTCAAATTGGCAGAAAAACACGAAGACACCGACATTCTTCTCTGGGAGGAGAAAATTAAACTAGCAGAAGAGGACGCTCAGAAGGCTCTCGAACGCGCTGAAAAGGCTGAAAGAAGAGTCGCAGAGCTGGAGAGGAGTCGACCCCCACAGAGAAAATCTAATCTTATGTCGAAGATCAGTTACTTTGAGAACGGTGGAAATGAGAAAAAAGAGGAAAAAGTGGAGACGTTACAAGTTTCACAGGAAATCAAAGAAATTGCTGGTGAGGATCTTCTAAAGTCCTATATTTATAAGTGCCGTCTACTAGCAAATGTGTTAGAATGAATGCTCTAGCAATTTTCCCATTTATTTTTCTGGGAATTGAATGAGAAATACTTAAAATTTCCGAAGTTGTGAAGAAGAATGCTTAACAGTTTCCCAGAAATAGAAATGTGCAAAAAGGAAGGCACTTTAACTAAAATCCTTTTTATTCACAGCTCCACCCTCGGAACCACAACAGCAAGCTCCTCCAGCGCCTCCAGCACCTCCACCGCCTCCAGTACCTTCTTCTCAACCTCCATCAACCTCATCTCAACCCGCTTGTGCTCCTCCCCCTCCACCTCCGCCACCATGCATGCCCCCTCCGCCGCCACCTCCTCCCCCACCGCCTGCAGCGTTTGACCCCTCGGGATGCGATGACATGGCCAGCATGTTGGCCAACAAGCAGGGAACGCTGAAGAGGAGTAAACAAGGTGACCAGAATGGAGGTATGTCTATTACGATTTTTAAAAAGAAAACGGTTGTTAGTTTTGATCTTTTTTTGGTACGCGACGTCTGGGCCTCAATTCTGCTATTTTATGTTCACGCCAAGCCACTGTCATACCACTGACACGCTATTGAGATGCCATCGAGTGGCCATTGGCAAAAATAAATAAATCATTTCCTCAAAAAAACGTAATATATTTTCAAATTATAAGAAAATGATTTATTTATTTTTCCAAATATGGCAATCTTTTTGATATCACCACTAATGAGCCACTGCCATTCCATCGCCACTGTAAAGACACTGAGTTAGTGTAGACTACCGATATTTATATGTGGCATGGCTCGATGGCATCTCAATAGCTTGTCAGTGGTATGACAGTGAATTGGTGTGAACATAAAATAGCAGAATTGAGGCCCTGTTCTTATGAGTTTTTAAAATAATTAGATTATAGCTTAGAGCATCAGGTTGGTCTAACAAAAGGATGGGCAAGAGCTATAACCAACATTAAACGGACAGCAATAACTAGGGACTAAAATACGAATTATCGTGACTTGTTACTGTTAGGGTTGACAGAATACCGCCAAGTGGGCAGAGCGTTGATTACTTTCATGTGCTTTAAACTCATATTTATTTAAACCTGTAGCATGGCCGTAGTGTATTCGACTGTCAGTGCAGAGGAAGTCGCTTCTATTCACGATTTGTGCAAATAATTCTACACATTTGATATTATGCACATGTGTAACCTGTCTCTATGTATATAAGGCACGGATGGCGTAGCGGTTTAAGCGGTCGCCACTCCGAGTGTTGTGGGTTCAAACCCCACATGGGACGACACTTTGTGTGATCCACAAATTGTTGTTCTGAGTTTGTGTCCGTTTCATGTATGTTTGTAAAGTCCCCCGCGACTCAGGATATATTCCTAATGCGGGAGTTGTCTTTTTTATATAAAAAAATAATAATAATAATAACAAAAACGTTACAAACTATACGTTTTTGTGAGTCTAGATAGCTCTACGTAATACATACAAAAATATTTTTATTTATTAAATCATGCGTCCTTATAATAAGTATGTGTAAATACCTACCTTTCAGCGGGCGGTGCAATAGACGCGATAGTAGACCAAATCAAAGGAGGCAAATTCCACCTCAAATCCACCGAACAGAAGTTCACCGACAAGAAGACGAAAAAGCAGGATGAACAACCAGAAGCTGTGAAAGAGATGCTCGCCATACTCGGGACCTTGAGGAAGAGACGGACCTCTGTTCGGTCAGACTTTGTAGACTCAGAGTAAGAAGGTTATATATCATTAATAAATATAATGTTTATTCATATTGATATTAAGTTTGGAGATGATAAGGACAGTCGAACTTACAAACAATATTTACTGAAGTGCAGTACCAAGCATTGGTGTTGGTTGCTTTGATTGCTCCTTGCAATACAAAAAAAAAACCAGGCTTTCAAATATTATCTATGGTATGTAGGCTGTTGAATAATGTATCTCGTAATAGGTTAGATTTGTTTGTTAATTATAAATCATTTCAGTGAGTGAATAATTTGACAACAGGGATGACGTCACGCCCTAGTATTTCATACAAAGGCGTCCATCGTTCTGACGTTTAATAGAAAGATACTGACTTGACAGCCACCTACCCAATTTTGGTGATACATTTTGACGTGACAACGTCTTATAATTCGATGGAGCCGGCTGCACGCACGAAAAAACATGACTCATGCGGCGTTACCTCGCTCTGAGGCGTTCCATTTAAGGCGTGAAGTGCAAGCGAGAGCGCGGAACGAGTGACAAAGAGGCACAACCGGCCTCCGCGTTCGGCAGCGTTCGACATCTGTCTCTCTCCTACTTGAGTGAGCGATGCGTCCGCGTGGACAGCTGCTACTCGTATACAATAATACATTTTTGAAAAATGTAACCATTCCATCAGTATTTTTTTATGACGTTGTCACGTTCAACTATCGTCAGTAAACCGACTTTACAGACAACCGATTTTTTTAAATAGGTTCAGTAGTGCCAGAGATTGCCACTTACACTCACTGAGTGACAAATTTGCAGTCTCTTTGATCTGTTGGTTTATTTAATGTTCTAATATTTACTAAACCAATTTGTATAAATCTTTAAGCCTATTGTGAAAGTCTGTATGTTAAATAACATCATCCTATAACCCATAGGAGCGAGGCAGGAATCATGAAAGATAGTGAATCTGCATTGTCTTTGTGAATTACTAAATATATATTAAAAGTGCCTTATATCAAGTAGTATAATTAAATGGGTGTTTGACACCTTGACAGTTTAATGTTGCCATTAGGATATTTTAATAGTAGATTAAATTTTTATTAAATTTTTTATTAAAAAGTCAATTGAGGTTATAAGTTTGGATATTGTGAAAATGATATTTGTGATTAAAAAGCATTTATTTTAATGTTATATTAAATAAATTAGCATATTTAAAAATAAAATTAAATCTTAAATATTGACAAAATACGAGAATTTACCAGTGGTGTTACATTTATATAATAAAATGATCAATTTGTTTATTAATTCCAATTAAAGTTATATATTTACATGATTGGGATGATGATGAAGTTGGTGATGATGATCAATGATAATGATTTACATAATTTGGAATTGAACTAAAAAAATGACACAAGTATTCAAAGTATACTACGAGGGGTGATCAATAAGTAATGATAATCAATATGAAACAGAACTATTAGATTAAAAAAAGTATTTTATTTTTCAACATAGTCTCCTTGCAAGTTAATACATTTAGTGTATCTTTTTCTAAGCCCATGATTCCCTTAGAAAAAAATTCTTTGTCTTGACCCTCCCAAAATGCCTCTACTGCGGCCATCACTTCACTATTGTCCTCAAATTTGTTGCCCCGGAGGTGTTCTTTGAGCCGAGGAAAGAGGTAGAAGTCACTGGGAGCTAGATCTGGCGAATAGGAAGGGTGTTCGAGCAGTTCGAACCCCGTTTCTTCAATGGCAGCCATCGCAACTGCGGCTTTGTGAGCCGGGGCGTTGTCTTGGTGAAACAGCACTCCAGCGCGCAGTTTACCGCGTCTTTTTGACTTAATAGCTTCTCGCAATCTTCTTATTTGGCCTGCGTAGTAAGAGCCTGTTATAGTGGCCCCCTTTTTCAAATATTCCACCATAATAATTCCTTCTGCATCCCAGAAAACAGACGCCATAACCTTTCCCGCTGAACTTGACACTTTGAATTTCTTCGGCGTTGGTGAGGAAGCTCGTTTCCAAGTCATTGATTGTTGTTTGGTTTCGGGATCAACGTGGTGGATCCAGGTCTCGTCCATAGTCACAAAACGCGACAAAAAAAATTCTTTATCGGCCTGGAACTTTTGAAGATTCACCCTCGACTCGTTTCTTTTTTTGCTCGTCGGTTAACATTCTCGGTACCCAACGCGCAGAGACCTTTTTCATATGCATTTTGTTGACAATGATTTTTTGAACGCTGCCATAGGAGATCCCTGTGACCTCAGCTACATGCCTTACGGTCATCCTTCGATCGGCCAACACGATATCTTCCACTTTTTTGACGTTTTCTCCAGTAAGGGACGTGGAAGGGCGTCCCTCGCGATGTTCATCTTCAGTGGAGGTTCTGCCCAGCTTAAATTCCTTTGCCCAGCGTGCGACTGTGGAATATGGAGGAGCAGACTCCCCCAATGTTTCCTCTAAGTCGCTGTGTATGTCTTTGGTAGACATTTTTTTCAGGCAGAGGTACTTGATGACAGCTCTTATTTCATTTTTCTCCATTTTGATGTTTTCTCTTCGACAGTTCGTATTCAAATCAATGTATCTCCCGGTAATGGTGTCCTATTTATACATTTTTTTGAAGCTGAAGTAGTGGATATATAAGCAAGCAGAAAAAAAATAATTTGGGTTTTTGTGCGTTCTAGAATACTCGATTATCATTACTTATTGATCACCCCTCGTATTAAGAATAAAAATAAATAACTTTAATATTTTTAAATGACAATTATTATATTCAAGATGACAATAATATAATAATAATAATTAATAATAAATATTAGTTTGGTGACTTATTAGTTTTAATTTTACTATTACGTGATCTGAATACTCTAGTTTTATTACTTAATTTTAAAATATTGTATAGTTCAATTAATATGAAGATTTATTTTTACGGCATATATAGGACTTAAAACTAAACACATTTAATATTTTAAGTTAGTTAAAATTCATATAAAGACAAGTTACACTGCCTGTTGATCTGCCAACTGCTGACCTAGAGTATGTGGATTCGATTCAACTGTTTAATGAGCACAGTCAATTATTCTGTGTCTGGCAGTAATTTATCTATAATATGTATTTAAACCAAGGTCATCGTCATAGCCCACGGGTTCAGCAAGCTTAAGTGTCAGTGGGCTGGCCATATTAGCCGCAGAACCAACAACGGGGGTAAACGAGTTCTTGAGTGGAGACAGCGTCTCGGCAAACGTAGTGTAGGACGGCCACAGGCCAGGTGGAGGGACGACTTGCGTAAGATGGCTGGCAGGCAGGAGAGCCGAAAATCGATCGAAGTGAAGTGCAATAGGAGAGGCCTATGTCCAGCAGTGGACTGCAATAGGCTGATGATGATGATTATGTATTTAAGGCGGCAACGCGGTAGTTACTTACCAGCAGGTGACCCGTCTGTTCGTGTGTCCCAATATCATTAAAAAAATAAATAAAAATATGATTACCACCAGTTTGGTTACCATTTAGTAGTAGAGGCTCTGCGTAGTTTGAGATCATACAGTGAAGGTGTTTTTTTTTTATATTTCTAGGTAAGTTAAGTTTAATCTCTAAAAATTCCTTGAGTATTAAAATGTGTTTAGATTTAGTTCAAAGAATTGTGTACAAAGTTACCCACGGTGCCATTGTCGTTGTCAAAATTGAAGCGTTTACTCGTAGAGTATTATTTACTGGTTAAGAATATTATATTATAAAATATTATACACATATATGTGATTGTTTTATTTATCCCTGTACAACCATTAGAGGTGACTACAACTGCCATTTCCTTGAATGTTAATGAATAAGGATTCTCTCGAAGCCCGAAAGAGTCAGTATCATCTTATTTATTTATGTCAATTTTTTTGAGGAAGGACATGGGACATTTTACGGGCGAAGCCGCGGGCAAAAGCTAGTCAGTTCATAAATGTCACCTCATCGCTAGAGTTATGTGCGATTGGTAAAAACGAACGACGATACCGTAACCGCGATTGGCGAAAATTTTTGTTCGGGAAAATCCTAACGTCGAACGCGGTCACCAAGTTTATTTCACTTCTGCTAGATCATCACGATCTAGCAGAAGTGAAATAAACTTACACGTGGGCCTCAGAGCAGTGATATTTCACTTGTTCTGAAGTAAATTGAGATGAAACGATCTGCTTGTGTCTCAGTCACTGTCGTGTTGGGTGTTGCAGCTGTTTGCTAACTGAATTATTGATCAAATTGATTATGAGGAATAGCATATTTTAGTATCAGGATACTTCAATTATAATAAAAAAATCAGTATTCATTTTGTCTTGTACTTTTCTGTTTTAACATTTACGTTGCACATTATGTCTAAGAACAGACCACGCTCACACCTTCTATAAGTATTTTATCTAAGAATTTATTTCTCATAACATTATGGCAATATCAGTGCTGCCATTAATATAAACCACAGAGCAACAATAATTTGAATACAGAAATAAACGCGACAAACCCAGAAATATAATTATTATTACAATAATCTTTATACAATATAATGATGATATAGTATATACAAAAGAAAAAAAGTTATGAGTCTGTAGGGCAGCGTCACATAACTGGCACGGCTGTTCTGTTTGGTTTTCGTCCTAAGTTTTTCTTGTGGGAGTCCTCTGAAACAATGTGCTTTATTTTATTACCTAGTCGTCGAAACAGTTCGGTTAACACCTAATAAGTAATAAATATTTACCGAATTTAGTTAATTTTAAATATCGAATGAAGTCTCTATTGTGTACCGAACTATTTGCAGACTGTTTTAATTTTTCTACTTCAGAAGATTCGCAGATGTACTTTTAAATGGTATTTATAGGCCTACTTTTGTTTATAAAAGGGAGGACAGACTGCAGAGAGAAAGAAAACTTGAAACAAACCCTATACCAACCCGTTTGGCCAGCGTGGTATAGTAAGCAAAAACCTCCTTTCTAAGGAGAGCCCCATGTCCAGCAGTGAACTAAGTAAAGGCTGATGATGTGATGTTTCGTGTAGGCTTGGATTCGAATCGTGTATAAAGCAAAACAAAATTAGAGGGACCTCCTTATAGATGGGACCAAAGTTAGGTACGCCCAAAGGTTATGTTAATATAGACATCAGCAACAAAAACATTATAATTATACCTAACTTTATGGTGATTTAAAGTCTTATTAATTTCCTTTATTGCACATACATACACTCAAATATCCCAGATGGGATGGGCTGAGGTGTATAAAAACGCCGACCCTTTCTCCCCCTATAATTTTAATCGAACGTACGTGATAGGGGGGACAAGTCTATTATCCTCAAACCGTTACTTTAAGGATTAGATACGGAAACAAGGGAGTTTATCGAAAGGAAATCTAGATAAGAAGAGATGGTATTGGTAGGAAAGGGATATTGCTACGAATGAATTGAGAAATTAAGGCAATATCTTGGACGGGTCAGGCTCACACAATAGTAACTTCCTGCACTGATGGCGTAGTGGTTTAAGCGGTCACCTCGCCGCTTCCTATGACTGTTGTGGGTTCGATATGCCTAATAGTATATCACTTTGCGTGATACACAAATTGTTGTTCTGAGTCTGGGTGTTCTTTGTGTCCGTTTCATGTATGTTTGTAAAGTCCCCCGCGACACAGGATATATTTTGCTAATGCTTTTAAAGACGACTCCCGTCTTTAAAAAAAAAAACTTTTTATATTGAGGGAATTATTGGAAATTAAGAATTTAGTCAGTATTAAAACAATGAAGACTGACTTCTGACTGAAGATGATGAGAAAAGGTTTTATCTGTTGTTAATATTGTAGTTGGCGTAGTGTTGCTATTTAAATAATGTGTCATTGTGATCTTAGTTACTGTTTTTATTTTAAATTAACGACATTAGTTTCAATTAATTTTTTCTACAAAATTTCTGTGCCTTAGTTAAAAACTTAGTTATTATTTTATTTATCACTGTGTACACAATGAATAAAAAGTCGTACAAAGTACACTGGCAGACTTAATGCTAAAAGCATTCTCTGCCAGTCCTTTGTGTAGTGTAGAAATGAGTGAGATTTTTGTCGTAATAATTTCAGTTCCTGTTTTTCTACTAAAATAACGTATTTTAAAACAACGAGTAAAAAAGAAATACCTGAAGAAAAAATATTTAGTAAAAGGAAGAATCTATCTACAGTGGTTCAAAAAAATTGAAAATAAATTCTTATCTGAAGCGTGATAAAATTACTAAGAACAGTTAAATATTAAATTCGGTTAAAACAGTTAGTTGCCTGACTTAGATACCATGGAGCTGTTCTGGTGATTGAGCCGGAAGACGGCCATAGAACTTCTAAACTAAACAAGATAAATTCATCGAGTCTTGCCATTAAAGCCACGATGTATGTTCCACACATTTTTTATGTTTGTTTTCTTACAGTTGTTCCTAAAATCACCATTTTATTTATGTATATTAAAATAAAACTAAAAAAGTAGGGAGAAAAGGGTAAAAAACGACAAACTGAAATAAACTTTTTTATTATTTTTTACGTATTTAAGTAACGTTTGTTCTGATAATATTGTACTGGACGGAGGTATCACAAAATAAATAAAATATTATGCAGTGATTTACATTCATTGCCTAATAAATAAAATTTGACATTTAATGTAGCCACATGAATAAAATAACCTGAATAAAATAATTAAAACATAATTAATACTTAATACAATAAAATGATAATAAAATAACATAATTATTTAGACAATCCCACAATAGATGTTCAAAAACTTAATTAATATATGTGGATCAACCAAATAAATTACAACAAAACAACAGAGGTGATTTCCTCGAAACGGCGGATAATAAATCCTACTCTGTCAGCCATTTCTGAATATATTAAAAAAACATAGCTATTTATTTGCGTTTTGCCCAATTACGGTGCACGGCAGAGAACCCGCCAAATGTATCGAAAGATTACAACATTAAAAAATAGTTAAATTAACACAAGAATTATCACAGAACTTCTTTCTATTATTTTTCTATGTTATTTTATGACATTATACGTAAAAGGGTTTAATCTAACGCTAGAAATGTTGTGTATTGCGAATATAGAGTACATGAAGTTGGACTTCGCTTCTGGCGGCATCCCGCTCGACCGGCGATTACTAAAAATCGTAAACTATGTAAAATATATGCAGATGTACATTTTTCACTATCTACATTCGATTTAAGAATCCACAAGACGTGTGCAGCCAAAAGAGCAAGATAGAACAATAGTTTTAGGATTCTGTCTCTTTCATTACATGCAGTTACAGCTGTCAATTTGCTAACCTCGTAAACGTCATTGTGACATTTGAAAAAATTAACAATAAAGTTATCAGTTTCCACATTTATTGTATAGTTTTCGTTCTGCATCAAGTCTTGTGGATAGATTCATGGGTTTATATATTACTACAATTTTATTTTACTACATCAAGTGACTACAATTGTAAGAAAGTACAGTACAGAAAAAAGGCCTGCAATTCTCTTTGCACATTTAATCTATATCTATACAATAAATACAGTACATGACAACAAGTAAATTCAATTAGAATTTGCCGTTTCAACCGAAAGAGAGTCTTAATTTCTACACAATAATGTCTGATTTAAAGTATCTTGGCTAGTTTATGTTTTACTATTTCAGTTAATATGTAATGAAATGTATGTTTTGGTGGTAATTATGAACTTATTATCCTTTATAATATATTAAGGTTTTAAAACGTACAGAAGCGTAATGAGGAGAAGAGAAATCTTAGTCATTCTTCTCAATTAATTATCATCAAGTATCATTCTCTTCTATTGAAATATACTCTGTTTTGGTTGGATCGCATCAAGTCGAGTGAACGAAAACTTTTGCCGTATTAGATTGGGCCGAAGTTAAAATTCGGACTAATACTAATTGCAGTTTTTATCAAAGAAATTGCAAACAAGGTGGTTTTAACGAGTAAGCAACTACAAAACTGAAAGCGTTTCGAAACACACCACTTTTTAAGTACATATAAATAATACATAGGTAGCCATTACACTAACTAATGTCTATGTCACAAAGCATTTACTATTTTAATACCAATACTTGTTTGGTCCCAATTGTTCACTCCCTTCTAAGCTCATTACTAAAACTAAATTAAAAACATTAAAGATCTCAGGAACATTCTAGTTCTAATATTATTTTCACTTTGAAACATTTTCTTTTCCTTTCTTTTCTGAACAAACTAAATACTGAATTATTTTTAAATAATATTTTCTGCATTCCATAAAGGATCATTTGCTTGAAATTTTTTAGTTACTATCGTTACTATCGTCTTAAGAACTTAATATTCCTGGACCAAAGTTTGTTCTTAAGATGCAATATCCTTACACGGAATACTCCCGAAGTTTTTCAACGACATTCTTTCTATTCTTTGTGATCCAGTCAATGTTCACCTTGGCCTTCTCGATGGCCTGTTCCACGGATAGTTTGTAGTCCTGTAGGTACTGCTGATTCTTCTTACGCCACTCTAGGAACTGAGGAGAGAATTATAATTAAAATTTATAGGTATTTTAAGTTTGATTCGTTGCCGTGTCGAAGTCAGGAGGTGGATAATGGAACTGCTTTTTTTACTTCTTTAATTCAGTTTGTCGTTAAAGCGTGTTTATTTTTAAGTTGTCATCATCATTATCAACAGCCTTTAATAGTCCAATGCTGGACACAGGTCTCTTCTTAATTAGTCTTTTTAGTTCTGCTAAACTATAAATTACTACTCAACCTATACACTTCTTGTGCTTCTTAGAGCATCAATTTTATATGTAACCAGTAAATTAAAAAATCTGACAGTTAGGAATATCAGTAAACTTACACTGTCTTAAACAATAGATTAAAATACAAAATATGTGCAAAAAGCTTTATACATAAAAATTCAGATTTGAAAAAAATACACACGTCATAACATTTAAAAAAAAGGAATTAAATGAGTCATAACTCCAAACACTAGGCTAATGAAAAAAACAATTTTAATTAAATAAATTTAAATATTACCTCATCGAGTTCCCTCTGTGTAGTGAACTGATCCAGTAAACCCTTGATGATGTATCCAACACGACGACCCTGCCCTTTGAATCTGCGGAAAAGACATTTTGTATTATAAAGTTTATAATACAAAATTTGAATGATTTCAGTTACGCAGAGATGTAATATTCTCTCTTATAATATTAGGGCAAATGAGAAGGCGGGGTCACATGATGGAAAGTTACTTCCGCCACATGTAACCCTAGAGTCACAAGTGCCCGAGTATGATGAGTATGGTGAGGTGATGGATTAAGAATACGGAGCGTCACTACAAATATTTATGCCGTAGGAGTCGACTAAAGGAGCAATTACGCAGAACAACAGCACTGCAAAGAAAAGGAAAACTTGACACAAACCCTTTTTTTTTTTTTTTTTTTTAACGTGTGGAAATCCCCTCGGACCGTCACCCCTCCGGGGTTTGCGGCGGGGTGGTGTGTCGGACTCGGACCGACTAAAACCACACGGTGTGCCACTCTGCGCCTGTAACAGGAGGGATCCGGGAACAGCTGTTGTTAAGACATCCGGACCCCTCCTAGCGCCAGCCCGCTCCTGGTGCGGGCTCCGTCTCAATGTATTTTCCTCTCTTTAGGCGACGTCCGGCACACGCGGACGCCGCCCCCTCGCGGCTGGCCAACTAATGCGGGTGAAGGGGAAACCCACCCCGTCCACCCGCGGCCACACTCAGGGCGGCATGAGGCTGTGGTAGGCGGGCCTCCGCCGCCCGGTTCGCCGGCGGCGGATCGGGTCCGAGTGGAGGTCGTCCTCCCGGGCCCTCTCCGCCGCCTCCTTCCGCGAGATTACTACCTCGCAGAAGGTTGCGACCGCGGTAAAACAACTGTCGCTACCGGCCATGGAGCGTACTACGGCCGGTAGCGAGAGATCCACTCCGATGACTGCAGTGAGGGCCCAGCGCTGCGCCGCCCATGCGGGGCAGACCGCCAGCGTGTGCTGGGCCGAGTCCTCACTGCAGTCGCATTGGTGGCAGGCGGGACTCAGTTCCCTCCTAGCGACCGTGTGCAGGTACTTTCCGAAGCAACCGTGCCCGGAAAGCACCTGCGTCAGTCGGAGGAAAGGGTCCCGTGCTGCCGCCCTGCCCACTCGGCGATGACCGGCTGGAGAGCCTCCACGGCGGCGAAGCCAGCGCGTGGAGTCTCCAGCCGGAACGACCAACGAGCCATCGTGGCTCGGCGAGCGGCTTCGCGCCACTCGCGCACATCCTCGGGCGGAGGGCGAAATCCGCTCTCCGCCCGGTAGTCAGCCACTCGCCGATAAACTTCGGCGAGCACTTCCGCCTCCAAATCCCACGGGGGAGTTCCGGCCAACGCGCATGCCACCTCCGTAGAAACGGTGCGGTAACCGCGTATGGCTCTGACCGCCATTACCCTCTGAGGGCGCCAGAGGCGTACCCTATTCTGGGCGGTCAGAGCCGCCGCCCACACCGGTGCACCGTACAGCGCCATTGACCGGACAACCCCCGTGTACAGCCGTCTTGTCGCGACGCTGGGTCCACCCATATTGGGCAAAAGTCGCCCTAGGGCAGACGCAGCGCCGACCAGCTTTGGAGCAAGCTGTCGGAAGTGCTCGTCGAAGAGCCACCTCCCGTCGAGGATCAGGCCCAGATATTTCATCTGGGCCCGAACCGGTACGAGGACCGAGTTGACCACGATTGAGGCGCCAGGGGGTGGACCACGACGGGGCCCATGAAATAACAGGGCCTCCGTCTTATCTAGGGCCACCCGTAAGCCCAGCGCCTCAATGCGCCCGACCACCAGGGAGACTCCCCCTGTGGCCAGGCGCGCCGCCTCTTGGAAGTTTGCCCCCCGGGCTGTCACGAGGGTATCGTCTGCGTAACAGATTACACCCAGCCCGGGGGGGAAATCGGCGCGAAGGGCCCAGTCGTACCCTATGTTCCACAAGAGGGGTCCAAGAACAGACCCCTGTGGTTGACACAAACCCTATACCAACCCGTCTGGTCAGCGTGGTATAGTAGACCAAAACCTCCTTTCTAAGGAGAGGACTATGTCCAGCATTGGACTGGTAAAGGCTGTTGATGTGATGATTTGATAAGGATTATTGATAAATCCTCCTAGATAATCCTCTTCACATCATTATTTGTCCCGGGTAGGATGTTCCCATCCTAGTACGGGTCCGCTAAAGTTACGCCGTAATCAGAATGGCAATGGATAAACCTATATAATAAAAAAGGTATTTGTAATAAGGATGGTGGTTAACCGTAGCTATGATGAATAATTTACTTTATGAGTCAGGGGGCGTCACGAGCACCGCCTCAACGCCGTTATGTTAATGAAATAGGGAAATAGATGGTCCTGGGGAAGTAATACAAATCTCAATACTTCTCTTTACGAATTTCTTATCGTATTAGGAAGGCAACTGATGAAGATGAGATATTAATTTAAGAGGGCGTGAAAGATGACATTCAAAATTTTGTAAATAAAAAAAAAATTAGGACATGTAACACACAACGCCATCTAGTTTCAAACTAAGTAGAGCTTGTACTATAAAAGCTTGATTGACTGATAGAATAATTAACATTATTTTTTTGTAAATACACACATATTATTCATAGAAAACACCCAAACTCCGAAACAAATATTTGCAGATCATACAAACATTTGGTCTGATCCAGGAATCGAACCCGAGACCTCAGTACAGCAATCGCATACGCTACCTACTGTACCAACGAGGCAGTCAAATGCTGAACTTTTTTAATAGACTATAAAAAATGAAGCTTCTCAATTCGGTTTTGTTTTATCTCAGAATCCTGTAATTTGTGACCTGATATGGAAAATTATTTCTTTTTAATATTATATACATTCCAGTTTCAATTTGAAAAACACCCAAGAAACACTAGTGCGTACCGACCTTTGAGTGTATCCCCAGAATTTGGAGGAGAGATGAGTAGTGCCTTCGGTAACTTCACTTATTAGGTGAACCATAAGGAAAATATTTATTAACACCAGTGTCGTTTATGTCGAAGCTTGGCTCTCCTACAGCGCTCATGGTAGATGAGATATACACATCCTATAAGTATTTGTGGAATAGGGGGTCTGATGGTAAGTAACTACCGCCGCCCGTGTGTGCCTGCAACTCAGGAGTCATAAGCGGGTTGTCGGCCTTTTAAGAAGAAGTACGCTTTTTTCTTAAAGGTTTGAAGGTCGTATCGGTCCGAAAATAACGCAGACGATAACTTGTTCCACAGATTGGTTGTGAGAGGCAAAAAGTGTCCTGAAAAGCGCACAGCGGTTTAGTGCCAGTACTACTATAAGCTCGCTTGCTTCTAATATATACTAGCTATTGCCCGTGGCTTTGTATTGTATTTCTCATTTTGTGTTTCTAACATTGAAAATGACGAATTCCCATGTAAAAGTTCACCGATTATTTTACCCCCTTAGGGGTGAAATTTTCGAACATCCTTTCTAGTGGATGATTACAATATAATATGCATCGGCTGCCAAAATGTTAAGTTTTTAGCCCCAGCGGTTTAGGCTTTGCTTTGATGAATCAGTCACTCAGGGCAAGTAATTTTGTATGTATAGATTTACTTTTTGAAGTGAAAACTTCTTTAGCGGCGTTGTACACTTTTTTATATGGTATAAAATGTTAAACTTGCGTCAAGCCACGTGACCCTGATCGAAAATTCGTAAGACGGATGGAGAGTAGACAGCCGGCGCGGCGTAGGAGAGGAAGTATCCCCCTCTCTTTCTACGGCGCGGCGAAAATGTATGCCTGCGCGTTTCGTTTAGGCGGCGCAGGGCGCTTGCGCGAATGTTCGTTTTTCTGAGAGATAAACTTTTTAATGTAATATAAATTGTCATGTTTGTGTACGATAGCGCAATAAATAAATATTGTATTCTACCACATAAATGATAGTACTTTTATACTGATAATTAAAGCAATTCGTGCAAAATTATTCCCTAACCATTCCAAAATATCAAAAATGCACATCGTTAATATTCAAGTTTTCACTTCTGAAGGCACTCCCGGAGTGCAACACGTAACCCCCCCCCCCTGTAACTCCTGTACACCAGGATCAACAGCAGCAATCCACGAACACCGAGTTAAGACACTCAGGAAGTTGTCAAAAATTAAACTGTCTAACCCGCAAAAAAAATTAATCAGAAGAAAAGGAGGAGTTGGAAATATAATAAATCCACTGCCCTCCTTAGGAAATCGAGAGACAAAATGAAGTGAAATAGGCATACACCTTTTTAAACAGAAAACCACTACGGACACAAAATATTATGGGTCTCAAGTGAGCTATATTTGATTTTTATAATATGGTATACTCACGTGTTATGTATGTCCGCGATCCTCTCGTAGATGAAGTCCTTGGCGACGTAGTACCCGACGGTGGAGCGGATGATGTTGCTGATGATGGCGCCCGCGTCTTGCTTGCGAACCTCGGGCCCTTCGCTCACCGTCCATTCAAGATATCTGGTGGAAATACAATGGAAAAGTGGAAATATTGTAGTAGACTGCATATGTAAATGTACAAGAGTTATCCTAGTGGAATCGAGCCACAACAAGCTCCTAAAGTTATATATAGGTTATACCACCCCTAAACTAGCCACTAAAAAAACATAAAACGTTTACTGCACTGATAAGTTCCATTAAATGCATTTAATTTCGGGTGTAATTTGATGAAAACGCTGGACGCCATATTGCTCTGTGGTTATGACGTCAGTTAGCTGTGTAAACAAATTCGATCAGTTGACACTGACTCTTTATAGTTTACATAGCTGTAAGACGCGATTCCTTGGTGGCTACTATTACATGGTGTGAAGAATAGATTAAAAAACTGATATTTTTAAATTGAATTAAAAAAAAAAAATCATTTTATGAATTAAGGCTATCATTTTCTGTCTGCTTTTTACCTGAGTTATCGCAATGAAATATGTATATTTTTTATGTAGAGTAAAATTATCACTTGTTTAATAATACATAAAAAATCAGTCGATTGAACGTCACAGGTAGTTATTTTAAAGGATAGTTGCACAGAATTTATCGCATTGACTTTTATAACTGAACGTTAATGAACTGTGGGAGTCGTGTACGTACTGCGCCAGGATCCAGAGCTCGCGCGTGCAGGTGAGCGCGTGCAGCAGCGCGTCGCGCGCGGCGGCCACGTTGGCGCGCTGCTGCCGCGCGAGGGCGAAGCGCCACTGCACCACCGAGCCGCGCGACACGCCCACGCAGTACACCGTGCGCCGCAGGTCCAGCGGGATGCTGAAAGAGATCATACATTTCTTATCGTCTCTCACTTCCAAAACACAAACATTACACTCGCCAACTTTTTATCGATATTCTTATAATTTACTCCTAAATCTTTGAACTTTTCACTACGATCCTAATAAAAACAAAAAAAAATGGAATAACTGACAGTAAATTTAGATTCCTATCCCACAAAAAAACTTTTTTTTGCAAGGAAAGTAATAAAGAATTTTTTTGTGAAGCTGATTACCCACTTAATAAGAAAATAATCACTTTCCTAATTATTCAAATATCTATCATATTACTATGCATCGATAGTAACGTATCTGGGTGTGGAACCTAATCATCATCATCATCACAAGCCTATCGCAGTCCACTGCTGGACATAGGCCTCTCCCATTGCACGCCACTTAGATCGATTTTGGAATCTAACAACAATATTTAATTATTTCACTATGTTCCAAAAGGGTAAACAGATTTAAACCACTAAATTCCTTATAATGTGAAGACTAATATGTCTGAAATTACAGATATCTGTGAGCAATAAACCCAAGTTTAAATATAATCATGCTTAAAAATATTTCTTCAAATATACAGCCATCCTTTATCATAGCAAACTTTTATTTCATTATCATAAGTTCAATACATCAAAATTAAATATAATTAACTTAAATAACCATGATATCTGTATTAACTCACGGGTTGTTTTCGTCAGGGTTAGGAGTGTCCATCCACTTCTGGAACAGCTCCACCGCATTCTCCTCGCAGCCGGGGACCTTCATACGACACGCCCACGCACTGGTAGTGACCTGGATAACGTAATAATAACTTACATTAATACATATCAACATTTCTGTATATATAAATATTTCTCGAAACACCCGTCACAGAGGAAGGAAGTGGATTTATAAAATTTCCAATTCCTCCAATTGTCTGGTGATAAATTTCGTTGCGGGTTCCAAGACAGTTTGATTTTTTTACTGGGACTTCCCGAGTGTCATAACTTGGTGTGTTCGTGGGTCACTGCTGTTGATCCTGGTGTACAGGAGTTACAGTGGTGGGCGTGTGGGAGGGATTAGTCCCGTTCAGAACTAAAATTTTGGTAATATTTTTTTAAGGAAAAATCTTATCGCATCTTTTTTAAAAGCAGAACAACTTCATTATTATCTATATAATTTATCTGTGCGTGTGTATGTGACTGAACTCCTCCTAAACGACTGGATCGGTTTTGATGATGTTTTTTGTGTGTATTCAAATGGATTCAAGAATAGTTTAGATTCACAATGCGGTCCACTACAAAATGTTTTTTTTTTAGTTTAAGACGTGTGTGTGCACAGGATAGCGTCTGTCGTGACAGCTAGTATACACATAACATTGCTTGCCTGCTGGCACCGCTGGGGCTACATTTTTGGCAGCTGATGCTGATAAGGAAGTTTGGAAATTTCACCACTTAGGGGGTAAAATAAGGTTTTATCCGAAACAGCCGGCAATAACTAGTGATGTGACAAAACCCACAAACCTGCATCTTAACGCTGTTGAGATCCTGTGCATTAATGATCCTCTTCTGAGAGAGACCCCCCGCCCTCTCATACGTCTCCCCGATGAGCTTCCTCACAAACTTCTGGAAGGCTCCATAATCTGGAGTACGTTTGAGCACGTTCTCTATTTTAGCGAGGCCTCTGAGGGCAGTAGACAGAGGGAGGAAGTCACGCTCTCGCTGCAGGTAGCTGGCCATGCTGTGGGGGATATAGAGTATAAAACACGGTACAACGATCATATCAGAAAGCCAATTCTCGTAATAAAAGTTCGGTCGCAATTCAGTTCCGATCAATTATCGATCTCGCAACTGTCATAAAAGTTATTTTCGCAGTAAATTAGTAAAGTATTACTAAGACTAGAAGATTACCGATTCAATTTTCGATTACAATCCGATATAATCACATTACAGTCAACGTTGTATTTTTAATACGAAAATGCCTCTTATGACCGAACTTTTATTACGAGAATAGGTCTTCTGTCCAGTTTCTATAATAATAATAAAAATGTTTATTTCATCTCCACAAATTACATTTTGTTTTATATTTAACAGTTGACAGGAAAACTGTCAAGAAATATAGATCTCCAGGCCCCCCATTACATCACACTTAGCAGATTTGTCAACATGTCAAAAGCGTACTAGAGTGTGTGAATGAGTAAACAGTAAAAAGATTTTGCATTAAAAATATATATACGAATGGTTGCGCTGTGAGGGCGTGTGTGTGTGTGTGTATGGGCGTCTGGTGTGTGTGTGTGTGTGTGTGTGTGTGTGTGTGTGTGTGTGTGTGTAGCGTGTGTGCGAGGATGGTTAGGACTTGTACTTTTTTTTTTTTTTTTTAGAGTATCAATTTTGCTTAAATTTTCGTCCGTTGTATGTAGATAGGTGTATAAATAATAAGCATAAATAAATGTGTTATAAATTATATATAGCAAGCTATATTCTATATAGCAAGAACTTTTTTCAATTTACCTACTTAATATTATTTTGCTGTTAGAACCCTTAAAGTTTTAAAATGGGCAATTTTAAATGGTAACATTAAATTAATGTTAGTTAACTAGGTATTTTAAAACTGAACTTCACAAAATAAGTTTTATATAAATAAAATGACAAAAAAAAAAACGTCATAGATGAATTATCAAAAAAAAACAGGATTCTTTCCATTCCGTTAATTAATCAATTCACTTAGTTTTTGTTTTGGTTACAATATTTAATATGAAAACACTGCTATTAGTAAAAAAAAACCTCCTTTCTAAGGAGAGGCCTATGTCCAGCAGTGGACTATTAAAGGCTGTTGATGATATTAGTAGTTTTTTTTAGTTGTTGGGAATCCGTTCTTGTTCAATAGGCTTGTGTCCATTAAGAATAAATATAATGGATAGGGGTTTATAATGATTAATTATATTATGGAGAAAATAACAAACAATTTTAATTATTAAAAGCGTTAAAGATTAATAATATTTTTAAAAAATAAATTTCGTAAAATGAAACCTTTAGTCACGTGACAGTGAACACCAATCAGAAAGCGTTACGTCACGCCGTGCGAAACTCCAATCTTGTCTTTGACGTTTCGAGTATCACTACCTGTTCTTGATAAAATTTTGGTTTTTAACAATTAATATCAAGTTGATACAGTTTTTGATAATTATAATTTGAAAGAATTAACCACTTGGAGTACAACTTTCTTTTGATTCATTCAGACACTCTTCTATTATCATCTTTCTTTGTTTTTTTAGAATATATGGCCGTTCTGTACTGCTGCATGTTCGTTTTCTTCTGTCTTCTTGACATCCAAATTTACTTGGCATACAACCTGGTTTCATGCTCACTTGTGATACTGTTCCCTTCATATGATACTCCATATAATTAATCATATCATTTGGCAACTAGAATAATAAAAAGAGTATTTTTGTAACATTAATTAGAAAACTAAAATAAAACGTTCACTCCTAAAAGTGAAACAACTTAACCTGAACTCATGTATTTATTATTTAGAAAATAGGGATTCTACAAAACACATCTAGTTTGCTCGAATTAAGTAATAGATTGTATTGTGTGAAATACTTACATCAAAATGATCTTCACAAAAATACATTCTTGAACCTGTTGATAAAGTATGAGCATCATCTCTTCCTGCAAGTTTTAGTCACTTTTTCCGTATTTTTCCATTGTTTGGAACATAAGTATATAAATAACTTGTTTGGCGTTTTTATAGTCGTGCTATCACACTGGGGCACTATACAGTACATACTTATAATATGAGAAATTCATTTTTAAACGATAAAAACCAGCTATAACGTACGAAGACACGATCGCTCTTTGGTTTGTTTCGCACGGCGTGACGTCATTCAAGACGCCATGACAGTCTTGTGCGTTTTGGAACCAAATTGAAATTGGTTTTTTAAAACGCGAAATTTATAATGTAAACGCTCGATTAAAAATAAATAAACCTTTTATTTCGATAAAATGCCTAATAAGCTAAAATATTAAGCAGTTATTGAAATTTTGTCAACTAGCCTATTGTAGCAGAGTAGAGTTTCCATTGTATTTTATTCAAGGTATTTCAAATATTTGACTTTAGTTACTCCGTTCGGTAAACAGCGTATATATTAATTTGGTAACTTTTTATAATAATAATAACTTCACAAATCTCTCAGACAGTAGTATGATCTGAAACTAGGTGGTAAAAATACTTATATATTTCTAAATAAGTATATGCAAATAGAAAAATTACACTTTGAGACAGAACAAATGATTGTGCAACAAATGTTCATCACACAATGATTAGTCCTGGGTGGGAATCGAATCCACGACCTTTGGATTCTCTGGCAGCTTCTCTAGTTAAAGTAGGTATAAGAATGAAGAGGGCGGTTACCCGAAAGCGGTGGAGTAGTCGATGTAGTTGGTCCAGGCGAGCGCGAAGACGTCGGCCATGAGCTGCACGCGCCCGAGCAGCGGCACGGCGCCGGCCCGCGCGCCGCGCAGCGCGCGCGACAGGAGCTCCCAGTTGCGCGCGTCGTAGTTCACGCGGTACAGACCTGAACGAACGAACTAATGGTTACTTTTCTTTTCTTTAAAAGATAACTCCCAAGGAGATGGAGATGACTTGATGGTAAGTGGCTACCGCCGCTGCCGAAAATTATTGCTGTATAATCATATGATGAAATGTTATATTTCTTTTTTTCTTTTGCACACAAGATAGTTTTATTTTCCGAAGTCGCGGACGAGCTTCTGCCTACGGCTTCGCAGTGGGGATAAAACAAAATTTGTTCAACAGCTTTTTATGATCAATTTCACTTCATTGAACGTTGGAACGGTAAATTCTGTAAATATTTAAGTAAAATAACAGTTTTTGATTTTTTTTTAATCCTCGGTCGCAGTCACAGAATACATAATAGTATACTTTTGTGCACTTATTTAAAATAAATACATCCTCAATTAATTCTTTTAAAACCTTAATCTTATTTCTCATCCAAGACACGGTACAATTATAATACAGTAGTGTAACTCGGCCGCATGATAGAAATAAATGCCTACAGCCGCGCGGTACGTAAACATGCGTTAGGGCTGCCCGTCTCCAGCATTTTAATTATATTTGCCTACTTTCTGTTTCTATTTAGATTTGTGATTGTAAATATCCTTTTTATATAAATAAATGAAATACTTTGTATATTGAATAGGAAGTGTTCAATAAAAATGCGTGTTGTTTTTTGATTGGTAGATTCAATTAAAAAAACATATTTTTGTTTGAAAAACAAATCGGGCTTATAAATTTGCGACCGAAAAAAATCCTTCTATAAAATAAAATAAATGTGCTTTCTCCTTACGCGTTACAAAACTCCAATCCTTAGAAACTCCAACACCTACCTACTCAACTAGAATGCAAGAAACAGCTGACGAGAAAGTAACTTTTTATCTCAGCTTATTAACGTCTCTATAAATTAGGTACCTACCTACAACTCGCAACAACTCAAAACAAAAATTCTTTGGTCACCAATTAATTAATTATTAAAAAGCTGAACAGCTGACTACGAATGTTTTAAAATCACAACCCTCAAACATCTAAATATTATATATGAGTCTAGCTGTTGTTGTTAATACCGAGAAAATAAAACCAGTTTTTAGTGGTATATGTTGTTATAGTAGCAGCAGAAACACTTTGTGAAAATTTCGAAAACTGTCTAATGACACACAGACGGTAAAAATTTTTTTTTAGTATTATTCATACACACAGATAATAAACAAATATTATTAATAATAAAATACCACGTCTTTACTTTGAATTATGCAAAGTAACAAAACACACATGCACCGAAGTTTTAACATAAGCGTAAGTAGGTAGGTACCTACCGTATCATGATTCATTCAGAACCGCATATAACTCCCTATTTCACTCGTCTCAATAACTTTCCGTTACTCTATTTGCTTTACTTATTCATCCAAACACCTTTTTTTTCGTGAGATAAAGGGAAATACTTATCCATTAAAAAGACACACATTATGTACCTACCTACTAGTAAGTAAAATTATTTTATAGTCTTACCTTTCAGAGTTTCCAGGTAATTTAAAAAAACTTATGTCTGGATGCGTTATTGACGAATTCATACAACCAAAAACAGCACAATATTTCCTACTCGTCATATTAACTGATTTTTAGAGAAAAAATCGCGCGGTTATTGTTAAAAAAACAACACACCGTCCGTTCGACACTGCGGTACAGCCGCGACTGTCTGCGCCCCGAGCGCACCCCGAGATCGAGGCGCGTAGGTATAGCTCGCGTTTCGTCCGTTTGTATGAAGTTGGAGTACTGTATTATAATAGTACCGTGACTGTATTATAATTTACCCTAGCTTCTTCAAACTATTCGCTTTCTTTACCCCTAATTGCCTCCTTTATAACATCTGAAATCCATTACACTAACAAGGAGAGCGTCAAGCAGATAGCCGGCCATAAAAGAAATCAGCCATAACGCTTTACACATTACGCCGACCATTTTTGATGTCATTGAGAAAAGATAATGAAAATTGAATGAGCACTTTTGGTATCGCTGCCGTATCTCAAGTTTGTGTCTCAAGTTTAAGATTTTGAAGAAGTTTCTGTTAGATTTAGTTTGTTAAAAAATAAGTACTTCGCCGAGCAAAGTCAAGAGCATTAATAGATTCTAGTTCATTTTTCTTCAGTCAACGACAAAAGTTGATGATCAAAACCGGATTGTCAAAACTACTGAACGATATTTGGAGCAAAACTAGGTAGTGCTTCAATGTTACAAAACTGAGTGAGAACAACATTGAATTATCACCACAACTTGATGATCAAAGTTGTTTCGAAATTATTTGCTGATTGAACTGTAGTTCAGGACCTCGTGTCGTTCTTCAAGTGAAAGTGTGGCAAGTGCGGCTCGCAAAAGAGATGGCTTTCCCGACCTGCCAAGCTAGGCCGCGAGCTAGGCGTCTAGCTCGTCTCAGGCTATCTTTTACATTATTAAGCATTTGTTATAAATGATGAACTGACCAAGACTTTGTGTGAAATATGTACCTATTTTAATTTAAAACGTGATTGTGAGATACGATTCCACACACGTAAAATCGAAAAATTTGTTTACTTTGCACTTCGATTGCGGCATCGACGTTGGCAGTCATTATTAGACGTATATTAAGTGTTGTTAAAAACTCTGGTGGTGACGGATTAAGAATACAGAGTGTCATATTCATCCCGTGGGTGTCATAAGAGCCGACTAAGGGAAAAAACTACGCAGGACAACAGCACTGAAGAGAGAAGGAAAACTTGACACAAACCCTATACCAACCCGTCTGGCCAGCGTGGTATAATAGGTCAAAACCTCCTTTCTAAGGAGAGGCATATGTCCAGCAGTGGAGTATTAAAAGCTGTCGATGAAAAACTCTGGCTACTTGGATCTTAAACTGGTAGGTTTTGAAAATATTCGGTCATCGTGGTTGAATTATTTTATTTTATATAAATAGAATGATAAACATGCGTTTTTTGGCAACTATGTTAAAAGTTGTTTTTTTTTCCAGATTTCACACGACAACACACTTTGTACTAAGTATTTATTATCAAAAATACGTTGTTTGACTTTTGAACCTCTGAATTTTACCAATGATTTCTTATTATAATGAGTTATGTAATATATGTTTGTTTTTTCTAAATGTTTATGTTATGTTATGTTATCACCTTGGTACAATAAAGAACTGATTACTCCGTTGCCGAACTCTTTAATTATTTAGTAGTAAAACAAGTATTACTCGCTTCGCTTATAGTGATTTATGATAACAACTCATAAATAGTCGGGTGATTAACACGTTCATCAACACTAGAACTGGTGCGGGTTCGATTCCAAACCACTTCGCTTCACGAGTGCAAGTTCGCACCGAACCACTTCGCTTCGCTAGTGCGAGTTCGATTCCAGCCTAATTCGCTCGACTAGTGCGGGTTCGATTCCAGTATATCCCACTCCACACATTAATACCATCATATAACAGTGATTTTTATCTTAACACAAATATCTTTGTAGCGATAGTAAGTTCCATTATCGCTTGAACAATCCCCTTTCCTATTAAACCAAAATAAAAGTTGCAACGAACTCACCAATCATATCAGGGTTGAACAGGAGCCACTGGTTGGGTTCGGAGCCGTGCTCGAACCTGTACTCCTGGTCGACGCCCTCGTGGGCGCCGAGCCACTGCAGCGGCGAGGGGGGGGCCCCCACTTCGGGCTCGCACACCACCGACAGCGGCACCCACCACGACGTGCTCGTTACACTCTTCGACGTCAAGGCGAAGTAGCGTTTCTGGTGACGAGACACCAAGATATTAGGAGTGAGATGATTTCGGTACATTTTAACTCTCCTGGGTATAACCCTTAATAGATATCACATCATCATCATTATCTCAGCTGAAAGACGTCCACTGCTGGGCGTAGGTCTGTCCAAAGCTCGCCACAACAACTGGCCCAGTGTTTTCCGCATCCAATGGCTTTCTGCGACCTTTACCAGGTCGTCAGACCACCTACCCACGCTGCGTTTTCCAGTATACGGTCGCCACTCTAGAACTTTATGGCCCCGCCCCCTGCCAGTTAAGTTAGGCAATGTCGGAGACCCTGGTCCGTCTGCGAATCTCCTCATTCCTGATTGGATGATGCAGAGAAACTCCAAGCATTGCCCTCTCTATTGCTGTTTGGGTAACTTTGAGCCTTCTTAAGAGGCCCATTGTGAGCGACTACGTCTCTGTGCCCTAAGTGATTACTTACTTATGAGAAAATGTCACGCAGCTTCCCGACATCCATATAATGACAACGGATATCGAAATGTTCATAATTTAAAATTATTTCAACTAAAAATCTTGAATTGCCTGCTATATTTAAACGACCAGTATAACTTGAACTATCATTTTACAGACTTTTGTACCATGACAGGTCTAAATATATTCTGTACCCTTATAGCTTTCTGTAGTCGTTTTTACATAACCTCATGCACTCCGGTTTCCGGTGAGGTTATGGTATAGCCCTTCAGGGCTCCACTATATCTACAGAACTTCACGAACAATACACATAGACCGAGCACAAGTTGTCCTGCCTAAGCGGCATATACGGCTCGAAGGACCATGTTCGATTCCCGTTGAGCACCAATATATTGACTCAACTGTGTAATAGTTAGCGACTTATCCGTGTAGTCTCTGGTGACCGTCAGTATGGGGTACCCGGTCTGTGTGGTCCACGTGTCCATGATCTCCTTCACGGTCACGTTGCGAGTGAGCACTTTGTATTGTTGGCTGACGGCCGTCAACTCTCTCCACAAGTCATCTTGTTCGGCGTTGCTGTACGAGTATTTGACCAGGTAGCTGCAACAGAGAAGATTTGAATAGAGATTATTGTTTTATAAGCTATAAGAAGAAAGTTAGACATCTATTTATCTTCAAAATTTAAAAAAAAATTGTTTTTGCCCGCGTGAAAGAATCGGTTTAGTGGTTTAGGCGTGCAAGCGTAACAAATTTACTTTCACACTTATAAGTATGGATATCTAAGACATTGAGATATTACGGTTCATTTTCGTTATTGTTTTTTTAATAAGTTAGTATATCCATAGTTATTATAATATACAGCATACTTATGTTTAGGTAGAAGTGGGTAGATACAAAATTAGTCGAAAACATGGTCGATTACTGTCTATGGGGATTGTTCAAGCAAGATTAAATATGGAATAGAAATTCTACTATTTACCATTTAACAGCCAATGAAACCGAACCTAGGATTATATGTTAGAAATTCCAGAAACAAGAAAAAAAAAATATTTTGGATAATTGGCAATGGACATGAATAAAAGACTTTAACACATCTCATTGCTAGAAGGATGAAATTAATAAAACATTTTATTCGTCCAAATTAATAAACCTGAAAAATATTTTTTTACAACCAGATACGTAAAACCTCAATTCTTTTTAATTTTTCATCGGATCACCTTGAAAGTAGGTTTCAAAACCCTTAAAAAAAATTATTAAAATTAATTTTGGAACAACCGGTTTACTCACTTCTTGATGGCCCTCCTGAACACATCATCGCCGAGGAACATGGTCATCATCCTGATGAGAGCGGAGCCCTTTCTGTAGGAGATCTCGTCGAAGATCTCCGAGATACGCTTCGGATCGTCAATGACGGCTGATACCTGTAAGAAAATTGGAAATTTGAAAATAATTATATCTCAACTTGTACCATAATAATAATGATTATATTTAATAATATTTATAATAATAATATTTCGGACATCTGACACACAACGCCATCTAGTTTCAAACTAAGCAGAGCTTGTACTAAAGCGAGAATGACTGACAGAATACTTATATACTTTTCTTTTGTAAATACATACATATTATACATAGAAAACACCCAAACTTCTAAATAAATATTTGCAGATGATACAAACATTTGGTCCGACCCGGGAATCGAACCCGAGACCTCAGCACAGCAGTCGCATAAACTACTACTGCGCCATCGAAGCAGTCATAATGAACGATAAATGACCTTAATACTGAATTATTAAATATAGTACACATAATAAGTATGAAACTCAATATACGCGAGTCCGATTAAAACTTCACTGGGTCTATTAACAGTTTTCTAATTTTTTATTGTCATCTCTCTCACTAGGAATATATTCTGTGTCGCGGGGGACTGTACAAACATACATAAAACGGACACAAAGAACAACCAGACTCAGAACAACAATTTGTGGATCACACAAAGTGTCGTCCCATGTGGGGATCGAACCCACAAAACTCAGCGCAGTAGGAAGTGGCGTGGCCTAAACCACTACGTATTCCGTGCAGTCAGTCTATAACTATTTACTTACAGGATGAGAAGACTCCAGGGCATCAAGATTAAGTACTGCCATAATGCTGTCGACGGCGTAACTCCTGTCAGCATGCCAGGTCGGCTCCACCTTGTTGACTGCCACCGACGCCGCGAAGGTGGCGAAGCCCTCGTTGAGCCACAGATCCGACCACCACTTCATGGTGACTAAGTTACCGAACCACTGGTGAGCCAGCTCGTGGGCTATGACCTGTGATAGAGAAATTATTTTTAGTTAGATTTAAAAAATAAATACCATTTTAATTTGATCCAAATTTCCGATTCAGTCTCCATCTATGCGAAATTTAAAATTATCTGCCACTTGACTGATTGATTCATAAACGCAGAGCCTACACCGGTGCGACTTGAAATTTTGCCAGCTAATGCTTTTTACACGCTTTATATTAGCTTCACTTGTATGTTTGTTTGTATGTTTTTGTTTATAACCGACTCCTTTGGGCGCGATTTTGACTGACTTTAAATGGTCAGAATTCGTTCAAAGTTTGTAGATATATCGAGGACCGATGACAATACACTAATTGAAAAAAAAAGGAAAACATAATAGTTTAAAAAAACTAAAAAACACGCTTTTTATAGAAAACCAAACTAAAAAATAGAAAATAAATTTTAACAAATTTGAAAAAAAGCGTTGGGTGCTTTTTACTATTGACAACAGGCACCATATTTTTAAAACTATTATTTTTTATATCGTAAACGCCCACTAAGAAAATATGTTTGGAAATTTCACCCCTAAAGGGGTAAGATAAGGGATGAACAGTTGTATAGAAGTTCGAAGAAGGATGAGCAAAGTTGCGGACAATAGCAAGCTTTTAATCAATTCAAGATCAATTGTGTCTTTCTACGGCAGCGGTGATGGATTAAGAATACAGTGTTTCACCACCCCTATTCATCCCGTTGGTGTCACGAGAGCCGACTAAGGGAACAAACTACGCAAAACAACAGCACTGCAGAGAGAAGGCAAACTTGACACAAACCCTATACCAACCCGTTTGGCCAGCGTGGTATAGTAGGCCAAAACCTCCTTGCTAAGGAGAGGCCTATGTCCAGCAGTGGACTGTTAAAGGCTGTTGATGATGATGATGATGACGGCAGCATCTAAATTAAAATAGGCTCAAGCTATACCAGTGTATAGCTTGAGCCTATTTTAATTTAATCCAGTGATTAAGAACGGCAGGCTTTTAGCATTCGTTGCATAGCCTTTCTAGATAATTAGATAAGACAAATTTCATTCGTATTTAAATCATGGAGAATTAAATTGTACTCCACGTTAGTTAGATAATAATTATATATCTCACACACTCACACACGGCCGTCTGATCCCAAACTAGGCAGAGCCTGTACTATGGTAACCAGACTGCTGATAAACATACTTATATATTTTTAAGTAGATATATATTATAGATAAATTACATCTAGACACGGAACAAATGACCGTACTCATCACACAATATTTGTCCTGGGTAGGAATCGAACCCACGACCTCCGGTTTAGCAGTCAGGGTCACTAACCAGTAGACCAACAGGTCCGGCTTATAACATTGATTCAATATAACATTTTATAGGCGCATCAATACTATTATTATTAATCTGAAGAGTTTGTTTAGTTAGTTGCTTAAATCTCAGGAACTATTATTTCGAATTAAAAAAATCTTTTAGTGTTATATAGCCCATTTACGGAGGAAGGCTATAGACTATATAACATCACGCTCAGACTAATACGAGCCAAGCATCAATGAGTTTTTTTTTAATACAATTCCCGCATTAGGTATATATCATCCGTCACGGGGACTTTACAAACATACATGAAACGGACACAAAGACACCCAAACTCAGAACAACAATTTGTGGATCACACAAAGTGTCGTCCCATGTGGGGATCGGACCCACAACACTCAGCGTAGTAGTAAGCGGCGTGGCGTCCACTTAAACCACTACGCCATCCGTGCAGTCAAGATCTAGTCTAGAGAAGTCTGCTAGTTAGAAAAGTAAGAAAAGAGATAAACTATTACCTCAGCAACTCTCTCCTTGTTCAAGAAAGACGATTGCTTCTCATCGTAGAGCAGCTCCGTCTCCCTGTACGTGATGAGACCCCAGTTCTCCATGGCCCCAGCTCCGAAGTCAGGAATGGCGATCATGTCTTGCTTCGGCAGAGGGAAGGACACGTTGAACCACTCCTCAAAGTATGACAGAGCCTTCGGGCCCGTGATTGATGCGTACGTAGTCTAGAAAATATAAAATTATCAATTTGCAAAAGCATACTGCTTTATTGTATACAGGGCAAAAAGAACAGACGGAACATCTGAAGTTAAGTGACTACCACAACTAATGAACACAAGTGTGGTGCCGCTCTTAGAATTTCTCCCTCCAGGATTGGGAGAGGGGAGTAGCCGTAGAGTATCTTTTATTTATTTATTTATTTATTTATTTATTGAGGCACACAAAACAGAACATAACACAAAGCTTAGTCTTATAGATAGCTAACACAAACAGTTTCGATCTTAGCTATGCTCCTAAATATGTGTACACAACATGGCAATGTAGGTGATACAAGATGAGATTACATGCAACCTAAAGAGCTAAGTATTAACATAAAAATAAAAATAAGTATAAAATTTGAAACGTATTTAAAATGTATAAGATGTTTAACATATCAGACCAACGTTGATGACATAATATGCGTAACATTATTTTTAAATTTACTAAATTTGGTATTAAATATGTCAAGGGTGTCCAAATGTTGGGGTAGTAATTCATTATAGAGACGACACATTCTAACAATGGGATTATAAAAAGAAGTATTATTTAGATGCACATTCAAAGTGAAGCTTCGGTAGTGACGCTGACGTAACCTAAACCTCGTGTTAAAATTTATTTGGGAAAGCAGGTCAGGACAGTCAACAACGGAATGTATGATCTTATGGAGACATAGCAGATCATGACACTTGCGGCGGGATTCAAGAGAGAGCAACTTAAACTTGTCTAATCTGTCTTCATAAGAGCAAACATCCCGGCCAACGTTGTATCTGAAGCACAATATTCTGAGGCACTTCCTTTGGATACTTTCTATTCTATTTATATGGACAGCATAGTAAGGAGACCAGACAGGTGAATTGTACTCTAGTACAGTGCGAATGAGTGCATTAAAAAGGAGGAGAAGACTACGAGCCTTCCTGAACTCCTTCGTGACTCTCAATATGAATCCCAGAAGGCTCGAAGCTTTGCTAAGTATATTATTATAATGTTCGCGAAAAGTCAATTTTTCATCAAAAGCAACACCAAGATCCTTTACAACCTGCTTTCTTTTAAGAGAGTGACCATTAAGATTGTAATTGAACAGTACTTTCTGAGATTTAGTTGTAAAAGAGATAACACAACATTTGGTCACATTTAAGGTCATATAATTCTCAACGCACCAACTGTCTATGCTCTCTAGGTCTTTTTGAAGGATTTCCGCATCCTGGGTACTCTTAATGATAGAAAAGACCTTAAGATCATCTGCGTAGAGCAGGCAGTGATTGGTTAACTTATCTACAAGGTCATTAATATATATGACAAAGAACAATGGACCCAAATGCGAACCCTGCGGTACCCCCGAGAATGCCACAAATGGAGAAGAAACCTCGCCCTTAATTGCAACTAGCTGACTCCTTCTGGACAAATAAGACTCGATCCATCGCAGCAGACTGCCATGAATGCCGTAGCTTGAAAGTTTACAACATAACAAAACGTGGTTAACTTTATCGAAAGCCTTAGAAAAGTCCGTGTAAATGGAATCTACTTGTTCTCTTCGACCAAAAGCGCAGCAGAGATAATCTTTATAAACTAGTAAATTGGAAAGGGTAGACCTACCCTTGACGAAACCATGCTGCCGCGGAGATACGTACGGGGAAAAGTGATAATATAAATGGTCGTATACAACAGACTCAAAGAGTTTAGCGATGCATGACAGTATACTGATGGGCCTATAATTCTCACAGTTTGACCTGTCGCCGGCCTTAAAAATAGGGACTATGTGGGCCATTTTCCACATCGTTGGGAACACTCCAGAACGAATTGAGTTGGTGAATATTGTGGACAAAGGCGTGCAAAGTTCCTTACTACAATGTTTAATAAAAGAGGGAGGTATACCGTCGGGTCCCGCACCTTTGTTGGCATCTAGATTAAGAATTTTCTTTAGAATGTCTTTTTCATTAATGTGTATAGTGCTTAATGAGCTAACTTGTCGATTGTTAGAGAAGACAGGCACTCTAATATCAGACGTGGGAGATTCGTATACAGTGCTAAAGTAACTAACGAATAGGTCACAAATATCTTTGTGATTTGTAGAGCTTTTGTTATTATATGTCATGGTTAAGGGTATTGAGATAGTTTTTTTTTTGTTGTTGACATATCTCCAGAAATGTTTTATGTCCGATGTCAATGAGGACTCAACAGATGAAACAAAACTTTTGTAATCTTCATTCATAAGTTTCTTACATCTAGTACGGAGCATACTAAAAGTATCATAGTCTCGAGGATTTTTATAGAGACGGTATCGTTTGTGATATTTAGACTTTTCTTTCAGACCGCGTTTTAATGCAGGACTGAACCAAGGAGGATATGAGTATGAATCATCTTTTGTCAACGGAGTATGCCGCACTATAACTTCGTTAAGGATAGAGTAAAATTTGCTAACCGCACTATCAACATCAGTATCGTCCAACTTCGTAGACCAGTCAACCTTAGCCAACTCCTTTTCAGGTTAATGTTACTCAGGTCGCAGTCTATAATGAAAGGTGGGTGATGTTTATCAGGGCGACTTAATGGCTCGTAGCCATAAACTTGAACAGTGTTCAGTGTTGAAAGCACAAGGTCAAGGTAACGGTTATTTTTGTTGGGAATGTTATTAAATTGACGGAGGCCACACAAATTTAGGGTGTCAATCAGTTCCCTAGATTTTTGATCCGAGGGTAGGCTTGGGATCATTACGCAAGAGTTAGTACTCATAGACCACGTAAGAGAGGGCGTGTTGAAATCGCCAACAAGAATGAATTCGCCGTTGGAAGAAGTTTCTGTTATTACCCTTTGACAGTTATTGTAAAACGATTCAATTAAATGACTGGGTAAATCGGGGGGTAAGTAACAGGTGCAAAGATTCATAAGTTTGCCAATTCCGGTGTCGGGAAAAGAAATTGTCACCCATAGATCTTCCGCGGGAGACTCCCAATCCGATTGGCGCCTAGCATTTATACCCCTTTTGACAGCTATAAGCACGCCGCCACCCTCGACTTTATTAACAGAACTACTATGGCGGTCTCTTCTAAAAACCGTGTAACGGTTATCCAGTAATTCATTGTCAAAGACGCTAATATTTAGATTAGTCTCAGTTAGGCATATTACATCAAAATTTCTATTTAGAACATTCAAATAAAATTCAGGCATCTTAGATCTAATACGATTTACATTCTGATAATAAATTAACATGATAAAAATATTTATAAAAGGCAAATTATTGCGACCATACATTACTAAAAAGAAAAGAAGAGAGAGAAAAAAACAGGAGAATACATTAAAGATTATGTTAATTTGTCCAGGCTGTCCATATTTTTGATGTGGATGTGGTCGGTTCTTTCCGTTTTCCGAACATAAACCCGTCCAAATTTCACCCAAACGAATTTATAGTTGATCTCTTTCGCCTTTTTCCTTGTTGCGGCATGTAAAGCCTTGCATTCGGGTGAAAGATGTTCCGAAACGTAGATGTTACAGTTTTTTGAAGTGATCCCCACATGAGTGCTATTCAGAGGCTCCTTAGAAGAATTTCGTAGCCGACGACAAGCGGACAGAATTTGATCTCTCAGAGTGGAGTTAGAAAGGGTGACAATGATATTGCGAGGGCGATCAGATGTTGAGTTTATTTTAGCTACTCTTCTGCATGACAATATACTCGAGTCGTCTATCTGAAAATTGATACTGGTGCACAGGTTCTTGATCAGAGTGACAAGATTTTCATTTCGACTCTCAGGGACTGCCTGTAGTTCAAGATTTTGGCCCCTGGATATTTTTTCTATTACAGATATACGATTGTTCAAAGTATCAATTTCTTTTTGTAGGTCGCTATTGTTCCTTTCCAATGCTTTGATAGTGTTCATTTTACTGTTAATTTCCGCACGCAGGTCTCGCTGATCAGCACATATAAAGTCCGTAGTGCTTGTAAAATCCTCCTTCAACTGTTTCATAGCGTCACGAATTTCAACTTGTACCTGTTTTTTTACTTCCTCGTGAACTACGGTACGGATTTGATCCATTAAGTGACTCAGAGAGGCATTGAGTTTTTGTTCCAATAAATTACTAATATTTTCCATCGTCACTTGGGTATTCGGATTGTACGTAGATGCTCGTATGTCCATGTTATTGGGAGGGGTACGTATGTCGAAAGACATGTTCATAGACTCCTGTTGTGGCGAAGCTGTTATTTGAACATTTGACGAACTCGCATTAGTTGATCTATTGCGTCGAGTAACGTTATTGCAGGATGTACACAACCACCTCTGTCGATAATTCTCAGTCAGGTTCGAATATTGGTCAGCGCCTATATTAACACAAGTGTAGTGAAAATAACAACTACATTGTTGGCATCGCAGGAAACCTTCCGAGCTATTAATTATTTTATTACAGACAGAACAAATCATGTCCAACAAATTCAGAAAGATCACAAAAAGAACCAGTTGAAACCGGGGATCGATCCGGGGGCATGTGATCCTAGGTTCTCTCCTTAACCGACCTGCCACGGCGTATATTAATGAGAGCGTCAAATATGGTAGCTACTTTGTAACGTCTTGTTGACTAAACCAGTGATAAAGTCGTATTTGGCTTGAGTTACAGATTGCGTTATTACTTAATTGTGGGTATTTATATATTCACAGGCACTTTCAACAATCAATATTCAGTTTTCAACACATGATCTCACTATAATAACGCCGTAATAATGATGTTAGTGTTACGGAACCAGATACGTCGTAACTTAGTGAATGATTTGATGCAACTTAAACAACACTTCAGACACTTATCACGGTAAAATTTTATTAATGATGTCAGAGTAATCGACTCACGTCTAGTACCGACCGACCGAACTTACAAAAAAAAAAAAAAAAAAAGGAAAAAAATCTTTACTAATATATGAAAGATTAAACATAAGTGTTTGTTTAAAACGCTAATCTTCGACATTATTGGTCAGATTCGAAAACTTATTTTTGTATTGGCTAAAATATTCATATTTAAATGGTTATGACTGTAGATTATTAACTTCTTTTAGGGTTGGGGTATGTAGTGCAAGGGGGGGGGAGGGTCGTCTACTCGTCTGTAGATGGCCCGAGGTATGTCAGGGCACCAGGGACTTCCTTTGTAGGGTATACCTGGTTCCCCGGCTAATAGTACCCGAGACGGCGTGCGGTTTTAGTCGGTACGAGTCCGACATGCCACCGATAGGTGGTATCCGAGGGGATATCCGCACGGGAAAAAAAAGGGTTGGAGTATGTAGACGCAGCATAAATTTAGTTGCCGTTATTTTTCTTTTTTTTGGCACCCCTCGCAACCTGGTGTCTACAGCGAACAACCCATTCGTGGCACCTTAGAGCCAGCGATTACTTAGAACTACTCAACTTAAGCTCCTAATAAGCCGATGTGTGGAGACATCGATTTTTATTTTGTAAATAAGATAGCAAACAAGCCTGTACCTAATTCTATGACTCGAAGCATCTGAACTCCTTTAATTTAGTTTTTAACCACTATAATAGTGAGCATTCATTCGTACTCACTTGATCCAAAGCATCGTTTCTGGCCCAAATTTTGAACTTGGTGGTGGATAAACCCTGCGGACTCTCCGTGTAAGAGAACTTGGAGATGACGAAAGCCACAAGGTAAGTTGACATCGGAACTGACTTCTCGTATGAGTTCCACACGAATTCCGACTGTTTCTTCCTGTAATATTAATCTAGATATAAACTAGTTGTACCCAGAAACGCTTTGCTGTTGATCATTGCGGTTGCATTGATGAGAAATGAGGAACAGCAGTGACGCGGAAAATGGATAAAAACCATCTTTGAAACGTGAGTATATTGTGTCCAATTTTGAGCTGAATCAGTGTAGAACTTTTTGAGTTTTTAAAGCTTAAGTACACAAATAAACTAAGTATACAGAAATAGGCATAGATAAAACAGACTAGTATTTTTCCAATCTTTTTTTAGTTATTACTAAGTGAACTACTGTGAACTGTCCGTGTGGTGACGGATTAAGAATACAGTGTGTCACCACCCCTAATCATCCCGTGGGTGTCGTAAGAGGTGACTAAGGAAGCGACCTACGCAGGACAACAGCACTGCAGAGAGAAGGAAAACTTGACACAAATCCTATACCAACCCGTCTGGCCAGCGTGGTATAGTAGTACAAAACCTCCTGTCTAAGGTCTATGTCCAGCAGTGGACTGTTAAAGGCTGTTGATGTGAAGTAAACTACAAACTTAGATAGATAGAATATTCCTTTTTCTACACCAGTTACAATAAGCTAATAGGGAATATGCACGTGACACCAAAATGGACAAAATATTTTTATTTGTAATTTTTATTGCTAAAAAAAGATACCCATACTATTATTTTTGAAATTTATTATAATTTAATAGTGAAATTTAATCATCAAAAATTGGCTTTTTTAAGATTCCCTCGCAAATTTCTAAAACGCAACGCTATTGGTTGAATAAAACGTGACGTCAACCTACACTGTCAAGAGTGTCAACAAGTTGTGTGTATTTGTAATATTTGGTTTCTGGTGATTATTTGTTTCATTTTAAGTTAATAACTAATACGTTTTCAGTGTTATATTATTAAATTCACGTGTAGAAAGACTCAACACAATGACTGAATATACTTTGTCAGGTGCAGTTTTGATATTATTTGGGCACAAAGGAACGGCACAATATTTATAATATGATTTTATTGGCTTTCCATGGTAATAAGTTAATTTTTATCACTCACTTTTTTAACTTTCAGAAACTTTGTGAACTTCACTCCGTTGTTGACATTGAATTCGTCTGAAAGTGTAATCTGACGTAACAAAAAAAGCGCGCCAAAATGGACGTGTTCAAATTGCCCCAAAATGATAGTGATTTTTATAATTTTTTTTTGCTTAACGGTTTTTATTTCGGATGTGTTATATTTATTGTTGGTAATGTTATAACTAGTAGAATCGTTAAAAAAAATAAAAAAAATACATGCATATTCCCTATTGGATATAACAAACAGATATGTACAATGGGCGGACTTATCGCTAAAAATAATCTATTACAGCCAACTTTTGGATGGACCAATCGGCAGAAGATAAAAGAAACAAGGGGTAGTCTAGGCGAAAAGACACACTGGGTTAAGCTATTTAATTATATTTATAGATTTAGATACAAGTTTGTGACTGTTAATAAGTAGGAATTTACAATCGAATAGTCTATGAGGTATTGGGGACGGAAAACCCATCAGTTAACCTTGGTTTTTAACCTTAAAGTATCTTAAGAGTACATCTTTTGAGACAATATTTATACATCTCACACAACGCCATCTCATCCCAAATAAGGTAACCAGACTGCTGATAAACATTCCCAAATATTTACACCCAGATACGAAACAAATGTGGAAATCGACTCCACGTCATCTGGCATTGCAGTCAGAATCGTTAATCACTGAACCAAAAAGGCCAGTAAAAGTGAAATGTGGCTTATACAATATACTTACAGGAACGTCTTTCCTATTTCACTCCAAGGGAAGTATTCTTCAAGGGCACTGAAAACAATCACAACGTTGTTATTTATTCATTCATAAACGATTATATTAATTCATCATATATCAATTCATGAGTACATCAAAACTATTATTTATGTTAAAAATCAAATGTATTATTGTGGTATTGGTATCAATGAATTATTATTATAATTATTAATTAGATTTTGTTTTATTATTATTAAAAAAAGACAACTCCCGCATTATTAATATATCCTGTGTCACGGGGCACTTTAAAACATACATGAAACGGACACAAAGGACACCCAGACTCAGAACAACAATTTGTGGATCACACAGAGTGTCGTCCCATGTGGGGTTTAACCCAACAACACTCAGCGTAGTAGTAAGCGGCGTGGCGACCGCTTCCACCACTACGCCATCAGTGCAGTCAGTTATAACTGTTTCAAAAAATTGCTCAACAATATTTCGAAAACGTCAATGGAAAAACTACAGATCAACACACACAGAGTCACTGCAACAATGAGCTGTTTTGTCTAATTTAACATTTAAAAAAAAACAATTACAAATTACTCTGTGTATCGATATACAACCGGCTATTTCCAAACAGTTGAGCCTTGTGAAAAGAAATCGGGCACAAAAAGATTTTTTAAAAAGGCAACTCCTGCACTGCAAATATATAGTTTTCTTCTTATGATATAAGGGGGCAAACCAACGGACGGGTCACCTGATGGTAAGCACCTGCAACTCAAAAGTCACAAGTGCGTCGCTGCTGGTATCACAGTCCTGTATACTTACTTATCTGTCGTGGAGCTTTCCTGTGGCATATTGGATATCGCCGTGAAGTCTTTATGGTGTCCAAGGGTGATCGTGAAGGTCGCTTTGTACATGGGTTCATCGAAGCATGGGAACCCTTTGCGAGCAGATATCGCTTCGAATTGTGTAGCTATTAAATATCTGTGGGTGAGAAAGAAAAGTAGTTGTGTTCAGAAAATTGACTGGTAAAAAAAAGAAAGAAGCGACCACAACGGCGCTATTATAGACAAAGAGTAAACTTAAATTCAAAATATATAAATATTAAAATGGTTTGAAATCGTCTCTTATGTAGACTCTAAAGTCATAGATCAACGCGCATAATAGCAACAATCTCTGTTTTGTCAAATACGATGTGAAGTCTTGCAGAAGTGAAGGGCGCGAAATAATTTTTCCGTGTCCGTGTGGTGACGGATTAAGAATACAAATTGTCACCACCCCAATTCATCCCGTGGGTGTCGTAAGAGCCGACTAAGGGAGCAAACTAAGCAGGACAACAGCACTGCAAAGAGAAGGAAAACTTGAAACAAACCCTATACCAACCCATCTGGCCAGCGTGGTATAGTAGGCCAAAACCTCCTTTCTAAGGAGAGGCCTATGTCCAGCAGTGGACTAGTATAGGCTGTTGATGATGATGATGATGTATTTTTATTTATTTTTGTTACCTTAGACCTCGAAACAGATTTGAATGTTTTTTATTTGGGTGGCTATACTTCCCGTTTGACCTCACTTAAATTGAAGAAAATATACCAGTTTTAAGGGTAAAAAATTAAGGAATGAAGATAGCGGTCCATTGCAATTCACCGTGATGTAGGTGTAGGTGTATCGAAGTCGGTAGAAGTTTTTCAAATGTTAATCTAATATATAAAATTCTCGTGTCACGATGTGCGTGGTTGAACTCCTCCGAAACGGCTCCACCGATTTTCGTGAAATTTGATGAGGAAAAATGAGGAATCAATGATGATGTATGATGATGATGTTAAAGTATATCAACTCACTCTCTAAGTTTAGTTTGCTTATTGACATATGTGCTGATATATGCTCCGTCCAACCCTGGCTTCAGATTTCCATAAAACGGTATTATCACTGTGTAGTTCTCTCCTTCTCTCATCGTGCTGCTAGTTGAGATCGTCAGCATACTGTAAGTTTCATTGACCTTCGCTCCCGTGGTTTTCAGGTCCTGAGGCCCGCTGATTTTTATCATGTCCTCCGGTACTGTAAAGTCCTTGGCATGTAGTACTATTTCATTTGTAGGTCTTCTTACGTACAGCTGCGAAAGAAAGTAAAAATAATTAGTTTGCGTAGATACATCTGGCCCCATCCCAGTAAAAAGGGACTGAACTTCTTCAAATTAATTATACTGAATCGCGATATATAAAAATCCCGGCTGGTTATTAACTGTTGAGCGTTTTTCTGGAATTCACCGAGTGCCAGTAGTTTCCTTGCAGACACGGTTGACTTATTGGATAATTGGTTAAAAGATTTTGACCATAGGAAAGTCAGGATAATTCCTGAAACAAAACTAAATGAACTACCCTTAGTTTCATAATAAAAAAATAGTTGTCCAAAGTCACCTAAATGTAACCACCTTCATCCCACTTTGACAGACTTAATGCGTCAGGCATTTTCTCCCAGTCTACGTTTGGGTGGTGGGGGAAATGTCTGACTAGGTGCACTTGATATATCAAGAAAATGATAATTGAGAAGCTGGACAGAAACAGTGGGATAGATATACATACATACATACTGAAATACACATATATGTTATATACACAAATATAATTTATATAAAACTTTAAGGATGTGATAAATCTATAACCGTAGCAGTGCGTAAAATGCGTCTTGAATGAGAGGCGGCTGGGTGATATCCTGATTTCCAGAGGGAGAGAGTTCCAGAGGAGGACAGATTGGGTTAGGAACGAGGAGTGGACACACGTGGCAGTATGAGTGGGGCATAGGCTTTTATGTAAGGCTGTGCTATCACTCTGATCGGTACTTTATATATATTTACAAATAATAATAATCATATATCAATCTACAAGAACAACGTGTAATAAAGCCAATTGATAACGACTGGCCTGTTGGTCTAGTGGTTAGTGACCCTGACTGCTACGCCAGAGGTCGTGGGTTCGATTCCCACCCAGGACAAATAATTGTGTGATGAACACGGTCATTTGTTCTGTGTCTGGGTGTACAATATCTATAATATGTATGTATTTAGAAATATATGTGTATGTTTATCAGCAGTCTGGTTACCATAGTACAGGCTCTGCCTAGTTTGGGATCAGACGGCCGTGTGTGAAATGTGTGAAAATATTATTATATTATTATTAATTCTCTGACCTATGTTACGAGTACATATATGAGCATTATCTGTCTCTCATAGTTGAAAATGAGTGTATGTACTTTATGTATGTATTGTATTTTAATGTATATATGGATAAGTAAAGTTTATGCATAGTAAATATTAATATTTGATAGGTTAAGACCTTATTTATAGCTCGAACTTTTATATAACTACCACCAGTTTAAAATGAATCCAGTCCAACCCAAAGATTGCCTGGAAAGAGAAATTGCTCTGAGCGAAAAGGTCGCTCTTTGTACATTTCATCTGTTGTTCGTTTAATTACTTTATAATGTTTGTAAAACTCTGGTATATAAATAAAGGGCTGTGAGCCCATACGCCCTGCAAGATTCGCCCCGTATTACATTTCCGTTCTCCCTTTCTATCCATCTCTTTTGCGAAGTCGGTTAAAAGTTAAAATATGCTTACATAAGTGATCTAGCTTACATTATTCAACCTTGAAACATAGGTTTCACTGCGACCGTTTCTATGGTCCATTGATCATATTTTTTATTATACCTAGTTACTGAACTCATTATAATTTTGATTTATATTTTTCACTTGTGTATTGTTTCATGTTTTACGACATTTTGTGAATAAATTTGTGTTTCGAAATCACCTAGTTAACGTACAAACGATATTGTTTGTGATCTTAAAGATTGTTGCGATATTCATTTGTATGCACTGTGTAAGGTTAACGTTGTTTACAAACTAGCTATAGCCAATAGCTTTCCTCGCTATTATCTATTATTGTTTAAGGTCCGTTCTTAAAGGGTAAAAACTCTAAATATCCTTTCTTAGTGGGTGCTTACAACATAAAAAGCACAACTGCCAAAACTTCATGGTTTAGGCTCCTACCATCAAACTTCGCTAATAGTTATATCACTGAAATTGCAAAAGTATAGGAAAAAACCAGTTAAGAAACATTTAAATAAAAACCCTTAAAAAGAGTTTAACATACTGGTCATGCACGAACGCAACAAACCGAATAGCAATTACCTAAGTACAGTTGATACACTCGCATGTTGTAGCAGCAACGGACTACTATCTCTTGAGTTGGCGTCCATAGGTGGCGGTACTCACTTACCATCAAGTGACCGGTAAGCTCATTTGCCTCTATACTATACGGTATACGGAAATAAACATGAGGCCTTTAGCTTCTGTGAGGCCGTGGCAACACTCCGGTCGAGGCGCCCTATTTGTGCCCTTGGAATTATATATTAATTTTGGTATTCCTGCCCAGTGTCCATCCAAAGGTTTCCTCTGGAAAACATCGCTGTTTTCGATAATAATAATAATATCCTACCATATTCACACAACGCCATCTAGTACCAAACTTATCAGAGATTGTGGTATGAGTACTAGACAACTGATAAATAAAAATATGTATTTTTTTTTGTAAATACATACAGATTACACATTAAACACATAAAGCCGTCCATTGATTTTTTTTTAAGGACAAATACTGCACTAGGAATATATGTATGTATATTGTGTCGCGGGGGACTTCACAAACATCCATTCAACGGATATAAAGAACACTCAGAGTCAAAACAACAATTTGTGGCGGACAACACTCAGCGGAGGAGGAAGCGACGATGTAACCGCTTAAACCATTATGTCATCCGTGCAATCAAATTTTATATTATTTGTTAATGTTTCTGTGCATTCGTATTCTCTTTTTTGTTGGTGATAATAATTAAGAGTAGTTTTTTTTTTGAAATAATGAGTACGAAAGGTAAAAAGATAATAAACATAAACTTAATAAATAAACAAATATAATATTATTTAGATTTTTTTTAAAGAAAATATGGTGTCGCGTCGCCACACCGCGTCATTGGTTACAATAAGATTATTAACTTTGTATCTGTCCTTAACAACACGTGTCCTACTAGTACTATTTACATTTTATCATTGGCCTATAAACATCTTGATCATATGATTTAAGCAGCGTCCTGGATGTTTTGGAACTTTTTCTGGTGACTGTATAGACCAATACGGGACCCACAGTGCCCACAAGTCAAGGATTGACTGCCTTAAACCCCACGCCTCTCGTGTCGGGGCACTCGCATACGAGCCAGCACTCCCAACCAAGCCTCATCATGGGTTTTGAAGCCGTCCGAGACGACCCTCTCCACTGATGACGCTCTTTTGTGAGGTTATCCTAATCAAAAAAGTTGATATCGAAAGAGATCAATTTGCGCTTTACGCTGTTCGTAACCTCAGCTTTGGACGGCCCACAGGTCTCCTGCTAGCTATATCCCCTAGGAGAGTTTATCTGGGCAAACGAGGGAGCTCTTTTGTTTTAGCACGTTACCGCCCGCTCCAATCCGGGCAGTCCCTGGGCGGTAAGGTACGTGTCCGCCTCGGTGCTGTCTTGTTCCCTTGGGGTGAAGGGGTCACTAGTTTTACAATCTATCTATTCAATTTTACAAGTCAACAATCCCAAACATAGTTTAACGACAAATGACATGTTGCAACAAAGTCATTTGTTGTTTAGGTGAAGGCAAACACGAACTACATAATTACATATAAATATCAACATTGGACCTCAAACGGCTGTGACATTGTGTGGGCATTGGCGGTCTATGCACGCACCCATGTAATGGACCAAGTAGGCGTTACCCTTTTTTTTCCGTGCGGAAATCCCCTCGGATACCACCTATCGGTGGCATGTCGGACTCGAACCGACTAAAACCGCACGCCGTCTCGGGTACTAATAGCCGGGGAACCAGGTATACCCTAGAAAGGAAGTCCCTGGTGAAGTAGCCGTTACCCTGAATTTCAGTCACTCATAATATCTATATTTCATAAAATTGTTTGAAATCGTCTTTTATGTAGACTCTATAGTCATAGATCTACACACAAACAATAGCAACAATCTCTGTTTTGTCAAATATTTAGCAAAATGAATATACTATGATACAATAATATCAAAAATCTATTATATGCCTGTGACGATCTACAACCGCCCGTTTCCAAGGGGTTGAGCCTTATGAGAAGAAAAGGCAAACAAACTCACGGCCACTCTTTTCTGCTAACAGTGTTCTCCACTCCTGCGAGTTAAGGCGTGATATTTATTAAATACCTAATAAGGAGAACAACCCCTTCTGATTTCAAATTAAGCAGTGCCTGTATTACAGTAATCAAACTGCTGATAAACATCCACACTTATAAAAATGAAAGTGGGGTTGTATGTTTGTTTATTACGCTTTCACGTCTAAACCACTAAACTGATTTTAAAAATACATTATCAGCGAGTAAGATAGGCTACTTTTGACCCAGATAACCGACATAACTACAACAAAACGAAGACTAAAAGCTTTTATATTTCTAAATACCCACATTTTTGGATAATTCTTTTTGTATTTAAAAACTATTCTTAAGAAAGGTTATGTTGGTCTATTGGTGACTGCTCAGTCAGAGGTCGTGGGTGCGATTCCCACCCAGGATAAACATAGCATGATGAACACGATCTGTTCTGTGTCTCATTTTAGAAACACACGTGTCAGATTGTAGGCAATAGGTTTGCCCCATAGGCCGTATTACGTAAGTAGGATAAGTAAGTAAGTAGGAAATTACTCCATTAAGTTATCGTGACATGGCACTATACACAATAGAATTAAAATCTATTATTCATATTGTCAGTTTGTGGCACTGATTTATGCTGCATTTTGAGGTCTACGACCTCACTAGGAATCATCCATTGTTACCCACGACATGTTATTTACATACGAAATCTTGTTTGACAATGAGAATTTTTATTCTATGGGACTATCCTCTTAACTAATGTTAATATATGTTAATTATAGTAACTTTATGAATAGGTATGTGCTTACTAACCATAGATATTTATTTTGTCTGTGGTAATCATAGAGATATAACCATAGATAGAACACGGGATACAGCTGCCTGTAAGTGGAAGCGATACAGGCAACGAGAGAGATGGATGCCCGATAGTTCCTTCTGTCTCTGTTACACAATAAACAATAAAACAATTTTTGTGACCACATACGTGTAATAAAAAAGTTCTAACCTTTAAACTTTCGCGTTCCATGATAATTAATATTATTTAACGGGAATTAACGCGATCTCTTATTTAGGGTATTACATACCTCTGGTTTGCCTGACGTTTCGACCCCTACCCTATATAAGAGAGATACCCTAAATAAGAGATCGCGTTAATTCCCGTTAAATAACATTAATTAATAAAAAAGTTTTTTCAACAAAAAAAAATGATGTAAATAAATCTCTATGGAAAGCAGATTAAAAAAATATATATAATCCGTTTTTAATTTAAGTACAAAATTTCATCAATATGGATCTTCAGTGTAACGTCAAAACCTTAGTATCCTTGAAATGTGTGTGATTATGACGTGGGGGTTTTGAATGGTTATGACGTCATACACTGCTATCGTAAAGTTATTTACTTTAATACAATGCTTTTACAATTTAAATGTTAAAATGATTAAAAAAAAAAAGAATGTTATGTTCTTTTAACATCTTTTGTAACTCCCGGATGATTGCTTTATAATTTATTTTTACAAACGGCCACTATTCTGGATAAAGAGACATAAACAAGACGAAAAAAAGAGAAAAAGGACTGTTATTAAAAAATAAAGAACAAAAAGTTACTCAATTGTTTGGTCTTGCCTACTTTTAACTTTAATTGGCCTGTTGATGCCATCCTGACGACCAAACCTAGTGTGATGAGCACGATCATTTATTTTGTCTCTGGGCATTACTTATCTAGGTCCGTGTGGTGACGGATTAAGAATACAGAGTGTCACCACCCCTATTCATCCCGTAGGTGTCGTAAGAGCCGACCAAGAGAAAAAACTACGCAGAACAACAGCACTGCAGAGAGACACTTATACCATCCCGTCTGGCCAGCGTGGTATAGTAGGCCAAAACCTCCTTTCTAAGGAGAGGCTTATTTCCAGCAGTGGACTATTAAAGGCTGTTGATGATTACTAATCTATAATGTACGTATTTGGACACATATAACTGTTTACCAGTGGTCTAGTTACCGCAGTACAGGCTTTATTTATTTATTTTTAACTTTTTGCACAAGTACATGCATCGGCGGACTTAATGCCTAAGGCATTCTCTGCCAGTCGACCGATTGGGCGGTGCTGAGAAAGCTGATTGTTGGTGAGAATAAATAAATAACAAGACGGCCGTGTATGCATAGATAATATATATTTTATTACTATGTTAGAATCTTTAAAGATACATCTATAAACCGTTAAGAAAAATTCTTTACATTCAATAGAGAGACAGACAAAACTATTTTTATTCAAATAACTATATGTGTCCGTTATGGTTGGTTGTTTGGTGTTACTGTCTAACAAAGAATTGACATTCGTTTCAATATTTCTGGCCGTTTCATGGCCACGATATCGTTTCTAATTTGGCCTACTTTACACTGTAATCTAATAATATAATAATCTATCTATACAAATAAATAAAATTGGAGTGTCTGTTTGTAATATTAAAACAACCGCTTTTTACTAAACGCATGTGTATGTTTACACGGTACATATGCCAAAATAACATTTTTTTTAATTTTTTGTCTGTCTGTCTGTTTGTTCGGGTAATCTCCTGAACGGCTGGACCGAATTCGACGAGACTTTCACTGGCAGATATCCGATGACATAAGGAGTAACTTAGGCTACTTTTTTGGACTAGCTTCGCCCCGCGGCGTTGCCCGCGGTTATAACAACAAACGCGGGTAACACCGCGGGTCTCAGCTAGTATTAAATAAATATTAAGATAAGATAGTGAGGGTTGAAAATAATTTTGAGCAAAGGGCGATTTTTGACACCGTGTGTATAAGTATGTTTATTGATTAGTTAACAAGCATACGAGTCATCTGATGTTACGTGACCACCTTCACTTATGAATGAACCTATACTTTTTTTAATTAAAAGTTTGGAAGTTGTATTTGGTCCGGAAATATTGCAGACGATAATTTGTTTTACAGTTACGGGGGGCATTCAAAAATATTCTTGAAAGCGCATAATGGTGGAGTACCAATTATCGAAGTGGTGACTCCGAACTCACTAAGTCTGAACAATTCCTCGGACTCATGATAAAAGCAATGGAAAATCCTGATCTACCTCTTCACAACTAACTAACTATTTTGCTCTAGGATTCAGAGTGGCTTACCTCTATCTCCACAACACCATAGAAACTGAAATTGGTGCTAGGGTCGATGTCGAAGGTGTACTTCAGGTGGTAATGGCGCGGAGCCACGTCTCCCGGCAGCAGGTACCCCGCCAACGCTTGCGCCACACACCACACCGCCACCAACCATACGTGTAACCCACGCATTTCTTAGCCTGTGAACAAAGACAGTATTAGATATATTTTGGAAGTTAATATTACTTGCTTTAATTATATTAACTTAAAAATACGTATGTATGTCAACTCCTCAAAAGGTCCTCAGATTTTACATACCTTGCAAATAATTAAATTAAAAAAAAGTGTTGCCATACGCCTATCATCATCATCACCATCAACAGCCTTTACTAGTTCATCGCTGGAAATAGGCATCTCCTTAAAGGAGGTTTTGGCCTACTATGGACCTAAACCATTGTGAATTTTATTTTAATTAACATTCATTCATTTGTATAATCTACATCTAAAATAAAAAAAGGAAAACTTGACACAAACTCTATACTTGACACAACCCGTCTGGCCAGCGTGGTATTGTAGGCCAAAACCTCTTGTTTAAGGAGAGGCTTATGTCCAGCTGTGGACAACTAAAGCCTGTTGATGTATGATTCATTTTCCACCCTAAGGGACAGTAATAAAGTAGCTGCCAGGTGCTTTTTAATAGTCAGTCATAGTTCAACATCAACATCAACAGCCTATACTAGTCCACTGCTGGACATAGGCCTCTCCTTAGAAAGGAGGTTTTGGCCTACTATACCACGCTGGCCAGACGGGTTGGTATAGGGTTTGTTTCAAGTTTTCTTTCTCTTTGCAGTGCTGTTGTCCTGCTTAGTTTGCTCCCTTAGTCGGCTCTTACGACACCCACGGCATGAATTGGGGTGGTGACAATTTGTATTCTTAATCCGTCACCACACGGACACAACTTAAAAACAATAATCGATTTACAAATAAGTATATTTAATGGATTTGAATTTAAAAACAACTATCATACTGATATACACATCATGAATTATTAGTTTAGTTATACACGTACAAGTGTTTTTTTTTTTTAATCAAATTCAAGTAAAAAAAACTCGAGAAAAACCAAAAATATATACAGTTTGCATTCATAATGACGGAGTAATCGGTGAACATACATAATTTTTTTGTTTTCAGATTTTTGTTGATTTTTTAAAAACAGCTGGTCTGATAAAATTTAAATAAAGGGACCACCTGGGAAGGATACCCTTTGAAACAAAAAAAGAACTTTCCAAATCGGTGTAGGCATCTCCGAATAATCAGTAAACATCATAAAAAAACAGACGAATTGAGAACCTCCGCCTTTTTGAAGTCGGTAACAAAAATACATACAGTTGGAACATAGAGCCTCATCCTTTTTGAAGTCGGTTAAAAAATAACGTAATTTAATAAACTTTGCGAGCCTTTTGTACGTAAGTCCGTCGAAGCAGAGATATTATATTTGTTGTGTTTGAATAAGCAATTAAAGCGTTACTAGACGAGGTGTGTTTTATGAATGCACAACTTGAAACCAAACTTCATCCTTCAATATTCATACTCCTTTGAGTGGGATTCGGTTCGGTTGTAGATTCGGTTTCTTTATATGTAAACACTAGTAGACACTAATAGGTTCGGTTTCTTTATATGTGACATTGTAAATCACACAAAAATACACCTTCTTTTAGGGTATTATACTAATTAACAAGTATTTAAACGTTTTGAACGACTCGTCGTTATAACAACAACTAACTAAGTGAAAGTATAAAAAAGCCTTCTTATTATTAAACTTGAACAGCATCCTACCTTTATAAAAGTTGATCTTTTTTGGTTTAATATAAATATATTTGCTAAACTTCCATCCTTGCGTGAACACAAACTTGAAGTGTAGACACAAGCAGTGGTCCGCACGTCATACTTATGTATGTATGCCTAATTAATACATATTTTTAATATCACGCCCGGATATTCTTGGAATATTAATGTATAGTTAACTTAGAAATTACATAACCATGTTACGACCTAGTTGCCTTAAGCCGTGTTTACATCAGAGATGTGCGCGGATACGAAGCGAGGGAAATGCTTGTTACCAATGGAACCATTTTTTTTAGCTAGCCTCGCTCAACGCAGATCTGGTGGCATTGGTTTAGCGGTGCGAGGTGGTAGTACATACAAAACAAGAAAAAATAATAGTCATTAGACGGTATTTCTTAGAAGCCGCCATATTAAATACCGCTCGCTTATTCAAAAAGAGCCTGCTGCACATTTTCGCAGCTTTCACCCTTACTCGCACGTCCCTCCTTACATCGTCCTATGCATACATTACTGGTAGAAATGTAGCCTAAATCCAAATAAATATCTACTAATTGAATACATTTCGGTACAATTCTGACAATAAATGTGTCGTTATATTGGAAGAAAATGATACGAAATGGACCGTGATACCACAGCCTCTTCAAGCCCTGAGTTCCCATGCCTATTACCTATCTATTTTTTAACTCACTTTTCTTTTCTTTCTCTCTCTCTCTCTCTCTCTCTCTTCTTTGTTCTGTTTCGTCTGAAAACCTATACATATCCAAAGGGGCAGGTCATAGAAAAAGAATAAATCTAAAATCGAAGTTAAACCTGAGTCGAGCTGTAATAATGACGAAACCCCAAGATCATCACATCATCATCATCACATCAACAGCCTTTAATAGTCCACTGCTGGACATAGGCCTCTCCTTAGAAAGGAGGTTTTGGCCTACTATACCACGCTGGCCAGACGGGTTGGTATAGGGTTTGTGTCAAGTTTTCCTTCTTTGCTGGTGTCCTGCGTCGTTTTGCGCCCTTAGTCGGCTTTTACGACACCCACGGGATGAATTGGGGTAGTGACATTCCGTATTCTTAATCCGTCACTACACGGACGATAGATAATATAGAGATAATATCACTACTTATTTCATAAATATGAAAGTGAGTTTGTTTGTTTGTTAGCTTTCACGCCTAAACCACTAAACCGATTTAAAAAATTCTGTCATTAATGGAAAGCTACATTATCAGCGAGCAACATAGGCTACTTTTTACCGCGATAACCAACATACACGCGGGCGGAGTTGCAGGCAAAAGCTAGCAACCCCATAAGTAAATCACAAAATTCTTTTTCTGATGTTTACAATGCGAAACTTGGGGCACGTCGTTGGTACGAATGATGGTGTTTATATGGGTTTATTATTCATATTAGGCATTGATTATCTGTTATTGTAAACAAGGGTTGGGGATTTAAGTTATTTTTTCCCCATCATCATATCAGAGGGCGGTTTTATCCCTCGATGTTATTTTCACAAGTTTGTGTTACATAACTAGGATAACAAAAACGACCTAGTCTGGTGGAAAACGGTTACCGTTGTTTTAGAACATAAATACTTTGACTTGCTCGTTGATAAAACAATAATTAATAACATAGTATGTCATAGAGGGGCCTGTCTTCACAGCAACATACTATTATATACATTTATACTATATAGCTACAGAAGGTCAATTCTCGTAATAAAAATTCGTCTTAAAATTCAAAACCGATCTACTGTCAATCCTCGTAATGACTCGTTATTATTATATTAAACGTTTTAACGTTTTTTTTTACGTTTGTTTTTATTATTCTGCTCGTCTGAGTATTCTCAGATGAGCAGAATACCGTATCAACTTTCGATCACAATACGATATAATAACATTATCCGTCTGGCCAGCGTGGTTTACCAGGCCAAAACCTAATTTCTAAGGAGAGGCCTATGTCCAGAAGTGGACTATTATGGGCTGTTGATGATGATGACAGTCAACGTTCGATGTTTAATACTTTACAATGAGAATACCTTTGTGGTGCGATATTTGTGAGATCGAGAGTAAATTGTAATCGAATTTCGAACGAATTTGAAAATTTCAATCGAATTGAAGTTGACCTTCAGGAATGCGGCCATTTAGTTTTCCGTGGGAGAGCCATACTTCGGCACAAATGGGCCGGCTCGATCGGAGTGATACCACGGCCTCACAGAAAACCGGTGTTAAGCAATTCTTTCGTTGCCTTTCACTGAGTGAGTGAGGTTACCGAAGCCGGAATCCCCTCTCCTGCTGACTCGAGCGGGAGAGACTCCAAAGGCGGCAACGTACTTGTGACTTTTGAGTTGCAGGTGTCCATAGGCGGCGGTAGTTGCTTACCATCAGGTGTCCCGTCTGCTCGTTTGCCCCCTTATACCATAACACAAATGTAGGTAAGTCGGGTATAAGTATTATGTAGGTATTATAAGTAAGTATTAATTATTTGTTAATTGTGTTATATAATTGTATTGTATTGTATAAGTTTTTTTTTTTAAATTGTATTGTATAAGTAAGTATTAATTGTATTATATTATTAAGCTGGCATGCAATTCGAGCGTTTATAATGATGGTGACAAGAGTGACAAAAAAATTTGTCAGTGGCGAATACTTGGTCACTTTTGTTTTGACGTTTCCACAACTTTGACAGTCCACCGAAACATTAAGAGTAAAGGCTCTGCCTGGTTCTGAATCAGACTGTCGTGCGTGAGATGTTTAAAGTACTAAAACAAATACTTGCGTTACAACTTACGGTACGTGCAGATTAAAATGGCTGAACTACTTTACTTAATATACAATTCAGATACAACACCATAATGTGTGACATACCTACATAGTTCTATGTACCAGATTCAGAAGAATAAATATTTATAGTTCTTTGATAGTTTTAAATCACACGTGGTATATAAATGATGCAGGGTGAGTCTCTACTTATCTATACCTATAAAATTACTTTTTTACGTGTAGTTACCACCTCGGACCGTCACCCCACCGGCGGTTTGCGGCGGGGTGGTGTGTCGGAATCGGACCGACTAAAACCACACGGTGTACCACTCTGCGCCTGTTTTATGAGAGATCCGAGAACCGCTGTTAGACTGATTGACTAATTCTACAACTTACTGAGACTGACTAAGACTAATGGGCCTTGAAATATACAGCTGATGCTTTTTATACTGTAGACACCCAATAAGAAAGGCTTTCTAGATATTTCACCACTAAGAAGGTAATATAAGAAAAGAATAGTTGTATGGAAGTTCGTTATTTTCAAGGTTAGAAACACAAAATAAAGAATATAACGAAGAATAGCGAAGCCA